TTGGAGAGTCGCCGCCGCTCCCCGCATGGTTCCAGCTTAGGGCTAACCTTAGTAACCGAATCAAGGCTATGGCTACCCCATGGGGTATTGATGGTATGGCCACCGCATAGACGATATAGACAGTATAGACAGTATAACTAAGCGGAGAAGGCAAGAGTCGACAGTATATAAAGAGGACCGGAAGAATTGGGGTGCAGCGAATTCATGTACGCAACAAGCAGGCTGCCCCCCTCCACTTGGATATTGCAGATATGCTTTCCCTTAACCTTGTCTTGATCACACTGGTGGTGGCTCTGGGAGGCTTCGTATATGGAGTGGACTCAGGTACGTCTCCATTGAACCCCATGGTAGATCATCAATGGCCGTTGACGATTATCAGGGATCATCGCAACCACCTTGGGCCATGATACCTTCAAGTATACCATGTTCGGACCAATTGGTGAGAATGCTGGGCTGAAAGGTAAAGTAACATGTCTCTGCTTCATTTTTTGCTTCCTTTTAAGATGTGGTACTAATAAAGCACTTTGCTAGGGGCCATTGTTTCCTTGTACAATGTTGGTCAGGCTCTCGGTACATTCATAGCAGGGTATTCAGCCAACAAGTTTAGTAGGCGATGGACTATTTGCGGAAGTGCCGTAGTGGGTAAGAGTCCTCTTGCCCCCTTTCCGTGCTTCGAAAATAACCCTTCAACTTTTGTTGGTGCTATGTTGATTGAACCTGTTGCTAAACGGATGTGTTTATCCAGCAATTATCGGTGCCGTTCTTCAGTCCGCCGCTGTCAATGCAGGAATGATGATTGCAGGAAGATTTTTCGCTGGAATTGGCTGCGGCATGCTTTTGACGGTTGTTCCCATCTATATCGCCGAAGTGTCCCCTCCCCATAAACGTGGATTCATTGTTGGCTTGCAGGGCTTCATGATTGCCATTGGCTTCTGCATAGCCAACTGGATCGGATATGGGGGCGCATTTGCTAAGGACGACGCCCAATGGCGAATTCCGCTGGCAATGCAAATTCCTGGCCCTCTGCTGCTTGTCCTTGGGTGCTGCTTTATACCTTATAGCCCTCGTTGGTGTAAGTCACGCCGTATCATCTTGCATGGGACTCTCCTTTTTGAAGCAAGTGTCTAATGATCAAGCTCTTCAGTGATCCAAGGTGAGCGCTATGAAGAAGCCCGCGCCGTCCTAACAATGCTGCAAGGATCTGAAATGGATGAGGTCTCCTTGTCTCAAGAACTCGCACAGATCCGGGAACAGATACAAGCAGAAGCAACTGAGGTTACAAGCTTCCAGGTTGCTTGTGCTAAGTTATTTTCCCGTCGTTATCTTCACCGCACGCTTATTGCGTGCTTTATTGTTGTCATGGGTCAGTTTAGCGGGTCTCAAGTCATTCAAAACTACCAAACCAGCTTTTATGAGACGGTAGGGTTTACCGGAAAGACTTCGCTTTTGATCAGTGGAGTTTATGGCTTCATGGGCGTCATCGGTCAGATCATCTACCTCTTTGTGGTAGCGGACAAGTGGCCGCGTACTCGCACATTGTGGACAGGCTCACTGGTCCTGTCGTGTTTGATTGCCATTTGCATGGCGTTATCAGCTGTGTATGGAGACAAGAGTGGTGGCGATCTCAGTGGTGCCCGTGCGGCCATCGCAATGATCTTCCTCTATTCCTGTGCTTATGCAGTCTTCTTCAATGCGATGGTTTGGGTTGTCCCTTCAGAGCTCTTCCCATTCTTTCTTCGCTCGACCGGGCTTGGGCTTGCTGTGTTCGGCAAATCCGTCGCTGCAATCGTCCTATCGCAGATCACACCAACCGCACTGGAGAATGTCAGTTGGAAATATTATTCACTTTTCATTGCCACGAACTTTGTGGCTGCTTTTATTTACTTTTTCTTTCTCCCAGAGACTGGAGGCAAAATATTGGAACAGATCGCTGAGCTGTTTGGTGACCCTCCTTCTGCCTTGAATACTGGGGATAAAGCCGAGGACATGGATGATGGACAAAGCATCGCGGGGACGAAGGACACCAAGTCTGCCCATGTGGAAGCAGTTGTATGATTATGTGGTGGAAAAGGTTAGCATATTTGCTGGCAGCCATTTCCTTGGTATCAACATTGACATTCTAGCCAGTCATGGATGCTTGTCTCACAAAATGACTGTAACTCCACCTTCACGGCATCCTAGTCTTTCAGTAGCCAGTCAATTGCGTTATCAGCAAGAGCCTCATTAGTGATGCTCTGATCATTCATAAGATAAGACAAGCCGTCCCAGGCATTCTCAGGTTCCTTCGATTGAGATCCTTCCAGTGCCACAGGATTGGGGGTATTTAGAGTCCCCGAGCTTTGGGCGATACCAGGAAGCTCCTCGATATACTCAGCAGACTGCGTAGATAGCCTTTCGGCACCGAAACCCGATGACACCGAGTCGTGTGTCTGTCTCTCTGCAAGCGAAGAAGAATGTTCTGTAAGGAAACGGGCCATCCAATTGTCTAAAACAAATGGATCAGATATGGAATTACGGCAAGAGTTCTGGAAAGTTCGTAGGCGAGACACCTAAAATAGTTTATGATCAGCCTTTTCGACCCATATTGAAGGTTTTCTAAATGACAAGACAGAAAGAAACAGAGAGTTATATAACGTTTGGTAGGAAAAAGACTTACAGAGAAGTCAACTATAGGCCAATACGATTTTACTCTCATCAAAAACTTGAAATTGAGAATGAGACGTTGCCGTGCCATGAAGAGCTCTGAGAGATCATCGCTGAAGAGTAAAGAGTGGAGATGAACACAAGAGCTGACCACAGCAATATGTCCATATATGAAATAGTCCAGCTCACAGTTCTCAAGGCTAGTGGCATAATTTAAAATCTCCGAAACTGTAGCCGCGCTTTCATTGCATTTGACTGCTTTAGGTTCGGTTGTGGTTGCATCTCGGCTTGCACCCGCCTTGAGGAAGGGAAAGAAAAGCATCTGGCGAAAATGATAGTATCCAATGTGCATAGACAGAAAGGTTCGGCCAAGGTGCCTCTCCAAGAAGAAAATGATGTGGTTGTAGCTGTAGGTCAAGTGCTCAGGTAGATTCTTGTACCATTGGTTAAGGCGATCCTCTAGTAAAGGGGCCTCCTGACAATAGTCATCGAGAGTAATCACGCCCCGACTAAGCTGTCTCAGTAATCCATTAATTTTGGTGAAGATATCAAGCGTCCGTGCCATTTGAGCCCACATATCACACCGAAATGCAGGTGCTAATTGGGGTTTCCGCAGCAACTCGGCAGAAGTCAGGGTATGAAAGAGTACATCATCTACTTCTGGGATCATTTCTGAGCTGCGGCACGTATCCTCAGGTTCCATGAACATGTCAGAAGCGGACCAGTGGGTGGCAATCCGAACGGAGAGACAAGTTCGACGATACTCTTCTCGATTTACCGCATTAGAAATTGACTGCGTGGGAGAACCCCAGAGTGACAGAGCTTCGGCGTGTAGCCGAGCGAGTCCAACATATATGTGTTTTCTCTGATTATCAGCTTCACCACTAAAAAAATATCCAATCAAAAGCAATGCTTGAACTGTTTCCAGGCTTGGAGTATCCGTACATTGGCGACAAAGTCGCATGGCCTGGAGGGCATAAACTTGACCACGGGAGCAAGGTGAGATACCATGGAAAACCGGGTTCTTAGAGAACCTGTTAATCTACGGTCATCGATCTGAGTAGCCTAATGATCAACTATCCCGAATGCGTAAGAACATACCTGGCAGCTAATGCACACATGCCGTAGACATGTTTCATGGATGCTGTACCTTCCCTCATATGGCGCATGAAACTCGGCTCGTGGAACATGGTGTGGGCAATATTGTGAATGTGGCGAAAATATAATCCAACCAATTCATGTAAGACTTCGTGTGTTTTCAGTGCTTCCGAAAAGTCCGGTTCCCATGATAGTGGCATTCGATCAGGAGTGGGATTCTCCCTTCCTTGTGCCGATTGAACTGCCACTCTGGCTGGCCTTGTAGGATGGTCAAGGCTGCAGGGAACCGACAATAAGTGACAAAGCTGACAAGTATCTCCTTTATTCCCAGGAATACATCGTCTTTTTCGACTACTGAATCCGAGGCTCATTCAGTGCTATCCTTATATCAACCCTTCAACCGAGGGGAGGATTGTACTGGTGCACTCACCGGCAAGTCGAGCAGGCGCCAGCCCTTGCCCTTTTCGCGTTATGGGCGGTCATATTTAATGAGTCTAATAGGTGCTCTATAGAGACTAGCGATTTTTCGTTGCAGACAACGATACCTTCTCACGAGTGAATGATGCCCTCTTTGTATGTTATATTGCCGACACTAGGTCCGATTTTAGCCTCGGGGCTTACCGTTGGCACTATGCCTGTCACGGGACAAATACTAAGGACCCTAGTATATAATACCTTATCTCTCTCCTTTCATTTAATGCGTGACCCAGCAATTTTAAATAAATTCCATGATATACTATAGCTGTTCCGAGTCTAATCAATCGACACTACTGCAACTTCGATCTACCAAACTTCTTTTGATCCACTCACCGGATAACACCAAGAAAGTTCGCCCTAATGGCCAGTCAATCAGCACAAGGCAATGCTGGACGGCATAAAGATCATGATGAAAATGTTTTCCTCTTCGTGCCCAACCTAATCGGTATGTCTCTTTTATCAGCGACGAGATAACCCCCGAGTAGGTCTTAAGGTTCCTAGGGTACACCCGCGTGGTTCTCGCCGTCACATCCCTCTATTACATGCCCTTGCACCCACGAACATGTTCGCTATTATATAGTGTCTCTTGTCTCCTTGATGCCCTAGATGGAGCTGCAGCCCGGCGACTAGGGCAATCAACACGATTCGGTGCGGTTCTGGATATGATTACAGACCGATGTACAACAACTTGCCTGCTAGTTTTCTTGGCGAGCGCATTTCCCAGGTGGAGTATTGTCTTTCAGGGCTTGATTAGCTTGGACTATTCAAGTCACTATATCCATATGTATGCGACCTTGGCAATGGGCGGAAACCGCCAGAGCCACAAGCAGATCGATGACAGTCGGCCGTGGGTCATGCGGATCTACTATTCTAACACGGTATGCTGGCGTTAGCCCGCTCGTAATTTCTTTGCAAAACTAACAATATATATAGAAAGTCCTTTTCACAGTGTGTGCGCTGAATGAGCTCTTCTTTATTGCGTTATATTTACTCTCATTCTCGTCATCGCCATCGTCGGTGAACAACCCGAACTTCACGACATCACAATCCGATCCTTTAACGCCCTGGAGCTCCTCTTGGAGTGCTGGGGCAATGGAGGTGGCTCGGTAAGATCTTGAGCGATTAATATACCCCATAATATAACCTATACTTACATTTATTGCAGTGCAAATAAAATAGACGATTCTGTTCCATGGTGTCTCCTTCACGTTTCGACACCATTTATGCTCTTCAAGCAATATGTGAACATGATTCAGTTAACAGAGGCCAGCAAATGGCTTGTTGAAGGTGATCTTGAAACAAGAAGGAATGAACGGCTTGCGCAGAAAAGAGACCAGTGACAACAATCACACCAAAGTTGAACCTTATTATAGCAGAGGGAATATAGACACAACAAGGGGTGGCAGATATACGGAGAATGACCTCAGTCATTTCGCACTTATCCATAGGTCATTGAATAATCGCCCAGTAGAGTATTCAATAGAATGTCGTTATATATATGGTTCCTTAGTGCAACGACCTCCGCGTAGTTTTTGAAAGAGCTTAGTGACTTCTGTTTCCCTGCTATCCCACTCCACTGGTTGACTAATTCATTTCAACGCTGGCATAACCCATGGTAGACGAATTCTGACGGACTACTTAAGAATCTGAGTAGATACTGACAATGATAAGGACAGGAACAATCCACGGTCTTAACATAGCGCCTTATCCGAAAAAGGCTAGTCCCGAATCAATCAGCATCAAAAGTCTGACTCAGCAAAATTAGGTTTGCGCAAAGAATATCCAGAACAATCCAAAGCTCCTCAAAACCCGCAGTCAAGTCTCCCTCCAAGTCGCAATCCAAGTCGCGAGACAACACCTCCGTCGTCCACATCCGCTTATATTAATATTCCCAAAGAGACGAACGTCGAAACCTACCCACCCACTATGTCTCGCGAAGCTTACCAGGTTCCTTCCTCTTTGGGCGGACAGAATGCCTTTGACTCCGGTGCAGGCTCCCTGGACGGCCCTATGGTTGCTTATCTATGTGGCGAGTGCAATGCTCGTGTCTCGTTGAAGAGGGGTGACCAGATCCGCTGCAAGGAATGCGGTCATCGTGTGTTGTACAAGGAAAGGACGAAGAGGTGGGGGTTTTTCCTTCTCTTTTGTCATTTTTAATAAACCTTCTAATTGGGTGTGTGCTGACTTTGTTTGGTTCTACAGAATGGTTCAGTTTGAAGCTCGGTAAAATGGGATAGACCGGTTGCGCGACGTTGGCTTTATACCTTTCTTACGATCGTATCGTGTTATGCATTCTGGTGGCGCTTTGGAGTTTGATGGGACAAAAAGATTGGATATTGCGATGCGGCGATGGTTCTACAGATGACCTTTGTTGAAAGGGACTCATTGTATCTGCGCATCGGCGGAAGGTGCTCGTGTTGAAGATTTCCATGAGTAAAATCATTAATTCCGTCATTCAATACACATGTCCCTATACCTCTACCTAGGCCAATTTGTGAACATAATCTAAAAAGAGAAAATGAAAAAGAGAAAGAAAGACCCGAAACCGTTGCGAAAGAAATGGTTTACTGAAGGTTGTTCGTCACTTCAATAAATCCCTCCAAACACTTAAGGGCTGCGCCACTTTCGACGGCCCATCTGGCTCGCCGGACACCCTCCTTCCAGCGCCCACCGCCTGGTCCACGTTCGGTAATCACCTGGCCATCATCGCCGGGACCCATGTCACTAGTGTCGGATTCACAGATACCCGAAATAACAAGAAGGGCAGCGACGTTCATAAGAACAAAGGTGAGGATTGGGTCATCGCGAGGCAGTTCGTTCCGCAGGATGCTCATAATCTTGGCTGCATTGTCCTTGGGCATCTTTCTTCCGAATACGGCAGTCAAGGGATGAGTTGGCAGGCCAAAGTCTGATGGGTGTAGTGAGAAAGTTTCAAATTTGACCAGAGTGCGGGGTACTTCATGCTCGTCCTCGTCACTTGAGCAGTCATCATGTTCCGAACCCTTGTATGCAGGGTTAGGGTATTCAACGAGTCTCCAGCAGTTGGTCTTTCCAGCACAGCTGATTTCATCCAGGTCCTCCTCACCACAGATGACCATTGCCTTTTTGCATCCATTCTGTTTCAGGGCCTCGGCAAAGACAGGTCCAAGGCTCTGGTAGGCCACACCGACCACTCTAGCCTCAATGGCCCAGTCAACAGGATTAGCCAGTGGGCCCATCAAGTTGAAAATTGTCCGTAGTCCCAATGCGCGGCGCACTGCATTGGCGTACATCATGCCCGGGTGGAAGTTGGGGGCAAACAAAAATGCATAACTGGTCTTCTCGTACACCTGTGGAAGGTTTTCGGCGCTGACAGCGGAAATATTCGGAGGGATTGGCGGAATAGCATTGAGGACATCTGCGGATCCAGAGAAAGAGGTCTGCGCGCGATTACCATGTTTGGCCATTAGGATAAGCGGCGAGGCGATGATAGATGCAGTGGTAGAGATATTGAAAGTGGAATGCGAATCTCCGCCAGTACCAACAATATCGCACTAAGGTAGACCACATATCAGGTTATTTTGAATATATGAGTTGCGGATGCATAACAATGCTTACCAGGCCTCCATTGTAAGTGCCCTCCTTCTTACCGCGGGCCTTGATGATCTTTTTCAAGGCGGGCCTGTCGACCTGAGTAGCGGCTTCACGCATACGATGGGAGCATCTAGCGATAACCTCTGCATCTCGATCTCTTCCAGTAGAGTGTAAAAGTGTCAGAAGAGCTGCCGTCTGTATAGCAGAGAGGCGATCCTCGAAAATCAATGCGAATGCTGAAGCAATGTCTGCAGCATCTACAGGAAGCTTCTCGGAGGGGTAGGCAAGCTTCTGTAGGAGGGGGGAGATAGAGACTTGACCGGGTTGCAGGTCAAAAGGAGCAGCGGACATCTTGGCTATAGGAAAATCGCAAAATATATCCCCTTAGACCGTTGAAAGCTCCGAATTGAAGGCACAGATGCGAGTGTAAGAATCCGTCATCGGTGTAGGCATAAACTCACCGCCCGGAGATCCCGCTATGCCTTTTCGGGAACCCAAGATTTCGTGCCATATTTTCGTCCAAGTTGTATATTGCGGAAGTCACTGTCGTCGGTATCTCCAATTTCACCGGCCTCAGGCGCCCTTGTCCCTCTCAGGAGCCGCTCCCAGGATAAATTAACCGTGCAAAAGCTTAAGTTCTACTAATACCTTCCATTCTCTTCACAATGCCTCCACGAATTCGCCTTTCAAGTGGCTGCATCCCCCAGCCGCTCCGCCGGCAAAGGCTCCTCTGTCAACATGAGCTGCCCATTCTCACAAGATACGCGAGTACCGCTGCGACAGCTACGACCCCCGCCGCGTCGCCAGAACAGATGACACACTCTGCTGCCCCCATTGCTAGATTTCCTCCGTCTCAACCTCCCTCACATCGCAATCCCGAGTACCGTCGGTCGCAGCTTCTCCGACAGTATACATCGCTCATCCGTACTACACCTCTTATGGTGTTTCTGCAGCACGATAACCTTCAGTCGGTGGAGTGGGCTGCCATCCGGCGAGAATTGAGCAAGGCTTTGCAGAAAGTGGACGAGCAGATTGCCTCCGAGGGACGCTCCCTCCCTCCGATTGCTCCTCACGTCAAGGTGCAAATTGTTCAGACTAGCATCTTTGAGGTTGCCCTCCGTATCGTCGAGTATTTCCGACCCAACACCTCCACGATCGAAGCCGGCCAGACCCCCAGCGCTGTCGACCCCATCACGCAAACGTCTGCCGAAGTCCCTCTCTCTGGATCGAGGGACGATCCCACTCTGTCACACGACCTTTCCCGCGCGGCTCACGATGCCGTCCTTCGTATGAAGGGCAAGCACGAATTGGCACCAGTCTTGGTTGGACCAATTGCAGTCTTGAGCATTCCTCAGATGTCTCCGGAACATCTCAAAGCTGCGCTGACAGTCCTTGCTCCCAAGGCTGCTGGCTTCCCTGTTCCCACTCGCAAGGCCAACCCAGGATGGCACGAGCTGCCTGTCCAGAACGGTCTGAATAAGCTGGCTCTTCTTGCCGCGCGTGTGGACGGTAAGGTGTTTGATGTCGAGCAGACCAAGTGGGTTGGTAGTATCGAGGGTGGTATGGATGGTCTGCGGTCACAGCTTGTTATGGCCCTGCAAAGCATGGCATCTAGCGTCACCAACACTTTGGAGGGCGCTGGCAAGAGCTTGTACTTCACTCTTGAGAGCAGGAGGAGCGTCCTGGAGGAGGAGCAGAAGGGCCCAAGTGATGAGAAGACCGACGCTTAAATGTAACGCGACCAGTTTGATTTCTATGTATAATACTATCTACACTTGTACTTTTCCTGTCCAGTTATTGAAGGCTATGGGTTGTTTTTAGCACATGAAGGCTTACTTAAAACACAAGCCAAATATAGAATGCAAAATTCTCATATACAACTGTGCATTATCTCTCGAGCCCTTCCCTGACCACATGTTTAGAATGGACTGAATTAGCTTCCGATATACAGCGTACATATAATCAGGACTGCGCCGATATGAGCCAGGATTGGCAGAGTGATTACAGGTATGTATATTTTATATTTATAGTCAACTAATTCGTCAAACCCGAAAGATGCAATTGCGGATATCATTGTGAGTTTACGAATGGTAATAGTCTGGGTAAATATACCTGGTATTCCGGTCCCTAGTACAAGCAAAACAATATTGAGCCAATACACCGAGTCATCTAGTTATCCCCTTCATGCCTGTCTTGCCTCAGCTTCAGCCGAGCATTCATGCCCACGATGCATCGCACAAGATCCCAATCACCATCCAAGCCAACCCAGTCCGTGACAAGGATACCAGTGGACCAGTCACCGTCATCCTTTTCACCATGTTTTCGGCAGAGATAGTCAACTGCCGCCGGGTTCAGCTTACCGGCAATCTTCTCCGGCCAAGTACCAAGTTTCCAGAAATTGCTCGCACTCAGGAAGTTAATATAGAAGGGATGCGCCTTGGTTGCTTCGGGGTCCGGAAGCACGCCGAACGGGTAGCGCGTTTCAGCGGCTCGGAAACAATGCTCTTGCACGTACTGAATCTTTTCTCCAATGTTCTCGGTCTCCATGACCTCATAGAAATCCTGAATGCAAATCTGTCCACTGGGGCAAGTCGCATTAGAGCAGTTGTCGGCCCAACCCGAGGCACAAATTCCCCAGCCTGCGCCCCCGTGTATTTCCTTGAGATGATCCAAGATGTCGAACCGACGGATAAGAACGACCTTACCGCGCACTTCACCGAGAGTGGGGATCTTGGGTTTGGTATACCACCGACTGTCTGGGTGTGCGTAGTGCTCGCTCAGAATCCGGCTGAGCTGTTGATCGGTGTGCTCACCAGGTCCCTCTCGTTTGAGAGAGATGATCAGGGTCTCCGACGGATTCTGGCTGAGGAAATCGTTTACTTCACGCATCAAGTCACGGAAGTATTTGTTTCCCGTTAAAGAGATGGGGAAGACGCTGTGCACCAAAACAAGCTCATCCTTTTCGGCATCTTCTGGATATTGGGGCTGTACACGGATGTCAAAGAATCGCACACCGTTTTCGAGCTGTTCTCGTGGACTGACTGCTTGGCAGCGAACGGAGGGCGGCGCAACATGGCAGGTAGGGGAATTGTGGGTGCCTGGGATCGAGAGAGAGGAGAGCAAGGTGTCGTCCTTCAGCTCGCCCATCCACGCATTCAGATTGGCGGAGGAGTAGATTGATAGATGGGACTCGGGTGTCACATAAATACCAGTGAGTTTGAATCGAGGTTCGTCGCACAATGCCTTCATTGTGGCGGACTCCGACGTGGGCACGGGAGTCTGGACTTGATGCCGCTCTCCTTCCACTTCGAAGGACCAGCGCACGCGCTCTTTATCCGAGTCGATAAATGTACGAAGCTCGGTTTGAATTGTCTGGAAAGGTTCGACATGGATATCTAAATCCTCATGAACAAAGGGTTCGTTGTCATCTGTGATCGCAGCGACCGGCGCACTGGTGCGGGTTACATTGGTGAAGACTCGGGTGAAGTTTCTAGCCAAATGTTGGATATTACGATCATGATGCGGATGAAAGCGCTCAATGCGCTTCAGAGTAATTGGCGTGGAGGTGAGATTGCGAAGGGTCAAGTATTCGGCCACCATTGTGGTACGTGATCGTTTAGGCCACGATCCCGGATAACAACCCATGAGTTTCTTAAAGGGACCAAGGTACAGGGGAGAGACTCGGGAGGTAAATAAGGCTGGAGACTTCGCTGACGCTGTTGGACGAACCGAGTACCAGGCTGCAAGGTTAAATTGGTGCTCATTATTGGCCTGGATGGATCGGATTGTATGGTAGCGCTGGAGAATCGCGACGGCACTAAATTAGCCACGATGCGATACGCACCAATTGTGATCGGCAATTTGTGGCTTTTCCTGGGATCTTCCGCGCCAATGGTACCAATGCGTGTCCACCTGAACAGGAGTACTCAAACCTAGTATGGGCGACATACCAGTATAGTGTTCTGTATCTTATTGTCAAGTTCCTCAGGCAGTCACGCTTTATTGTCTATTATTGGCGCTGGACTTGGTCCATTGTTTGAGACCCGACCGGGCGTCGACTCAATCTCTTCGATGAATCCATCACCCCCACTCTCACTTTTTTCACTGGTGTAGTAAGGCTGAGACTGCCAATGTTACTTTCGTTGTCCGAGAATATAGTTTTTCCACAATTTTCTTTTCCTTTTTCTTTTGTGGCCACCTACCCCTCCTCCTGTCTGAGATGCTTTCGCGTCATTCAAGCTTTGTCATCTTTTGAGTATGGTTGTTCTCTGATACTGCGCGACCGCTCAAGAGCATTTTTCCTGCCAATTGGAATAAGAATGCCTGTCGAAGGGAAGATGTAGTCTGAGAGGAACCAATTGGACCCTTCTTAGCTAAAATTTCGGGTTTATCGCAAATCTCGGCCCAGTCTTATCAACACCAAGCCAGGTCCATGGTTTATTTCTCCGCAACACATCGCGGAAGCAAAGATGGACCGAAATGCCCGCCCGTAAATTGCGGAGAGCCGGTCACGTGAAATGACGCCGGGGTCGGCTACCGTCGGCGCTCGGGGTTCAGAATGCGGAGGAAGGAGAGCAATAATAATGCACTACCACCATCATTCCACAATGAAATGTTGCGCTCTCCCCTCTCGAAAAGCATTCTCTTCTCCTCCATAACCCTGGGTTGACTTCGGCTCGACAATGAGCATTCTACGCTGCAATGGAGGCCTTTCTGGGGCTCTCCGGTCTTGCCAATCTCGCAGAGTCCTGCCGATAACTCGCTTCCCATCAACAATATCCTTTCCCCGTCGCACATTCCATGCCGGCCCGGCTCTGTGGGGCGTCAAGTCTCAGATCTTGAAGGATGTTGGCGAAGGTACGTCCAATCCTTCTGTAACCTGTGTTATACGCATATATCATATACTTACCCACCTTGCGCTCCGCAGGTATCACGGAAGTTCAGATTATCCAGTGGTACGTCGAAGAAGGTGCCCATATAGAGGAGTGGAAACCTCTCTGTCAATATCAATCAGATAAAGCAGTAGATGATGTTAGTTGTTTTCGCACCAATGACCAGCACACAGAGACCTAACAGTATCAGATTACCTCGAGATACGGAGGCATTGTTAAGAAGCTTCACTTCCAAGCAGATGACACCGTCCCCACGGGAAGGGTACGTAAAATTGCACTACATCTATACTTTGAGAACATGGTTGCTGAGAGAATTCCACTGTAGGCTCTGTGCGATATAGAGGTTGAGGACGGAAAATATCCAGATGACAACCCAGCACCAGCACCCGCGCAACCCAGCTCTGCTCCTGCACAGGCTGAGACAAAACAACCTTCAGGTGAAGTGGCTGTTGCTACTGAAAAGCCAGAAGCCCCGAAGAATGTTTCACGATATGCAACTCTTGCCACCCCGGCCGTCCGTGGGATGCTGAAGGCACATAACGTGAATATACTAGATGTTTCAGGGACGGGGAAGGACGGACGCGTCCTCAAAGAGGATGTCCTTCGATTTGTAGCAGCGCGGGACTCTGCACCTACGCCGCAACCTACAACCCCTACAACCCCTGGGACACAGCAAACAGACACAGCGGTCAACCTAACACCAATCCAGTCACAAATGTTCAAGACCATGACACGGTCACTCAATATCCCCCACTTCCTATTTGCAGATGAGCTAAACATCAACAATATCACTGCGCTGAGAAAGAAACTGGCCAATGATCCGAAGGACCCCAGGAGAATTACCTTCCTCTCCTTCGTCATCAAAGCCGTCTCTCTAGCCCTGAATGAATATCCAATCTTGAACGCCAAGGTTGACACAAGCAATCCCGACAAGCCCCAGCTCATCATGCGGCCCAGACACAATATTGGTGTTGCAATGGATACACCGCAAGGCTTGATCGTACCCAATGTTAAGGATGTTGCCAACCGGTCAATTGAAGACGTTGCAGCAGAAATCACCCGTCTGAGCGCCTTAGGTAAAGAAGGGAAGCTCACCCCAGCAGACCTGAGTGGTGGGACAATCACTGTCTCAAACATCGGAAATATTGGAGGTACCTACGTCGCACCAGTGATTGTGTCCAATGAAGTGGCTATCCTGGGTGTCGGAAAATCCAAGACAGTACCAGTCTTCGATGAAGCGGGTCAGGTTACCAAGGGTGAATTGGTTAATTTCAGCTGGAGTGCAGATCACCGTGTCGTGGATGGCGCGACTATGGCTCGGATGGCCAATAAGGTCCGGGCATGTATTGAATCCCCGGAGTTGATGCTGTTACAGCTACGGTAGTTATTGTATATAGATAGAGTTCCCATTCAGACCGTTAAATCAACTAGGGTTTACGCACCACTTGTCATACATTATCGAAGGGTGTAATTGATGCCTCATCATTGCTGTTAGACACGAACCAACTCTAATCCCCAGTTCCCTTGCAATCCTGGGTACCTTCAGTACGTCGTTCTTCGTATTCCTGTTGGGAACTGTAACTAATCTAACTATCATGGCCAAGAATGTGTCAGATCCACCGCTGAATGTATGAACTACTAGTAGGCAGGTGACACCGCACTCGCTACTTTATCAATTTTCCCTACGTGGACTCATGCGACAGCTTTTCATCAACCAGATTCCAACTCACTCCAGAATGACCGCAGAACACACGACACCACCACAAACCTTAACGAAGTGAGCCACACATAATTACATTCACCTGTGCAGACAGGTACTGCGTATCCACCGATGTGCAGTTCTAGGGCGGACGTGGAATCTCTTTCGTAACCACCGCATCATTGAGGATGGCCAATCCGAAGACTATCAACTCTGGGAAATTGGCGTATCATGATGATGAACTGAAAAAACTACGATATGGTAGCTGAGAAGAGAATTGATGCGGGTTTACGGAGTACGCAGGAACTGATCTGAAAACCCAGAGCTGTATGAACAAATATAGTCCGTGATATTGCATGCATGCCCTCCTAACTTTTTTCCCGATCAACCCCGATGCATAGACTGAGCGCCATGGAGATCGATCTAGATGTCTTGATATATACCGTGTCATATTTTATGGAGCACATAACTTCAACCGCCCATATCTTTATTTATTCATCGCATTGTCCATGGCTTCTAAATCCCACTTTTCTCTCGGAAGTTCGGAATAATAAGCAAAAATGCGTATCTTCAAGTTGACCCTGCAGCTCTGGGCTGCTACTTTATGCGGTGCGATCAGCTCCAATATCGTGACATGAATGCTATCAATGCGTGAGCAAAGGTAAATCAAGTCGATGATGATAAATACGGAGGACAGATGGTGGGTTGAAACTTGCAAGAACATGGGCAAAGACAACAAAGTTATTTCCATACAATAAACATGTTATATACATCCTATTCCTATTCTTTACATCTTCATCGTTTCATCTGGCAATTCTTATAGAGTACAAATCCAACTTTCTTCGGTAGTACGTGTATAGTGTCTACTACCCCATCCGTCGTAGTATCGACCGATTCAGATGCTCTGGCTGCACCGATCTGATCCCCGACAGATGAAGAGTAAGCTGTAGATCACCTAATGTACTCTGGAGGACATGGCGGACACCCTCCCTACCCGCGATAGCAAGTCCGTACACATAGGGTCGGCCGATAAGTACCATCTTGGCTCCCAGCGCCAGAGCCTTAGCCACATCAGCACCGCAACGCACGCCAGAATCGAAGATGACTTCTAAATCCTTTCCCACCGCGTCGACGATGTCAGGAAGCATGTCCAAAGATCCCACTCCCCCATCCTGCTGGCGTCCGCCATGGTTGGATACCACTATTCCCTGCATGCCGTACTGGACTGCCAGCTTTGCGTCCTCGACCGTTTGTATACCCTTCAGTACGATCGGGCCATCCCAGTGCTGACGTAGGAACTGAAGGTCTTCCCACCCATGGCTTAACCCAGGGAATATCATATGAGCCCATTCAGCCGCTGCGGTCGCCATGTCTTCTTCGATGCTTTTGCCATGCTTTTCCGCGAACTTCTTTCGAAACACTGGATCAGAGAAGCCAATCTCGACTCCGATATTGTCTTTCCTGAGGAATGGATTATACCCATTCTCTAAGTCCGAGGGGCGCCACCCAAGGATGTAGGTGTCAAGTGTCACCACCAAGACCTGGTAGTTGGCAGCCTTGGCGCGCTTCAACAAGCTGACTGTAATGTCATTGTGCTCATTTGACGGCCAGTATAACTGAAACCAGCGGGGTCCGTTCCCATTGGCTTTTGCGACGTCCTCAATGCTGGTCGAAGATGCAGAACTCAGGATGTACGTTATCCCTTCATCCTGTGCGGTGGAAGCAACAGCAACCTCGCCATCCCGGTGGAAAATCCGCTGCACCCCTACTGGCGCGATGGCGATCGGGTACTCATATTCCTCGCCGAACAGCGTCGTTTTCAAACTTGGAAAGTCCGATTTAACTAGACGGGAGGGAACGATGCCCCATTTCTTGAATGCCTTCCGGTTGTTTTCATCCGTTTCTCTCGTTCCAGCGGAGCCCCAGACGTAGCCAAAGCTATCTGCTGAGAGGCACTCTTTAGCCAGCCCCTCCCATTTGAAAGGATCAAAAGTGATCGCGGGCTTTTTATCATTGAGCCCCTCGGTATAGACTTTAGTTTCGTAGGTGTATGGCAATGGATTGTGCTGGGCTGTGGACATTGTTGCGAAGTGTTTGACGTCTCTCTTTTCGGCTTTTTGCGAATTCCGGCCTGATGTATGAAACCCATAGGCTGTGCGCAGAGAGCTCTCTAACTAGAGGCGAATGCACTGACGCCCATTTATGGTTGAGCAACTTAGGGCCTGTCTCGGTACAAGACCGGCTCCCATGACAATGGACCCGGCCAACCGGTTATGTTCAGAGGGTCAAGTCCTCGATCAAGGCAGACCAAGAACAGTAAAACTGTACAATTGACGTAAGTACAGTACTACGGTCGCAAACTATGTCATATTGAGACCCGCTTGGTGGGTTCAAGGCTCAGCTTAGCTGCCGTGAGGACCGAGATCTCTTTTCGGCCGATAGAGACCTCGATAGTTATGCAGTGTTCTAAGAAGCTTGTCTTTCACCCATTAACCAATAACATTAGGGGCAATGGAGATGTCCTGATTATCGTACGATCTCGGACGGAAGACCCATTGGATATGAAAACGAGTACTACTGGCGTTGCCCTTATGTGGCATGACGTCAACGAGCTTTGGTAGTATTTCTCTCGGGGAGAACAAGTCCAACCCCGAGAGACGCACCGTCTGTTCGTGAGATTTGAGTCGTCTAACGCTTCTAGTTTCGGTAACACCGTGGCTATTCAATGAAATATCCATTCGACCGACGAGGACGACTATATCAAGGTCATCCGTTTCAGCCGACAAAGAGGCAGATTCACGAAAGGCACCAGCACTTGATAGGAAAAGGCATTGCAATACCTAGGTAGTGCGCGGATAGGGGAGGTCCATAGCTACACATCAGAAGCAAGAAAATAACAAACGCAAAATATGTTAAGGGTCGGCGCAAGGGCAGGTCGCCCTCTAATGCAGGCCGTCTCTTCCGGACCTACCTGGTCGAGATCTCGTTCGCAAAGGATAAGCGGGCCTTTAATTTCAAGGACTTTCATGTCGGTTGGCCCTCAGTGCAGGCAGGAATCCGGTGAGCATTGTTCTCTAACCATTGAGGGCATACTCCCTGCTAACCAGCCAAAGATTGCCATAAACAGGGGACGTCCAGTCATCCACAGCGTCGGCAATGGACTACAGGTGTTGGTATTGCCCTTGTGTCATCTGGTATGTGCAGTATATCTGTTTTCCAACATTAGTATGTTATGATGGAGGATATTTTGACTGACGAAGCAAATCCCCTTCAGCCCTCCTTCTCTCAGGTCTTACTGGTTATTACATAGGCATTGCAAAATTCCTGGAACCAGCAGTGACATCTACTACGCCACTCAATGAGTTCCCAGTACCATGTCACGATACTTCTTTCTCCAACATACAAGGAGCAGTTGCAGAGTTCGCCGGTATCCTAGGTGAGGACAAGGTCATCAGTGACAAGGAAGCTTTGGCACCCTACTCCACTTCTGAGTGGTCATCCTATTCTCCCAGTAAAACCGAAGTCTCCTCAGTAGTTGTTTGTCCTTCGACCACGGAAGAGGTCTCCCGTGTGATGGAGATCTGCCATCGACGCAGACTTCCAGTGACAGCATATGCAGGGGGGACAAGTCTTGAGGGGCACTTTGCACCGACGAGAGGAGGAGTCTGCATAGACTTCCAAAGCATGGACAAATCCTAAAAGTGCACAAAGATGATTTGGACGTCGTAGTGCAACCTGCAGTGCAGTGGGAGGTATTGAACGAAGAACTCGCCAAGGATGGGCTCTTTTTCCCTCCAGACCCTGGCCCCGGTGCAATGATCGGTGGCATGGTCGGTACCGGCTGCTCGGGAACAAACGCATATCACTATGGAACAATGCGCGACTGGGTCCTGTCTCTGACCGTTGTTCTAGCCGATGGGACAATTATCAAGACCAGGCAGAGGCCACGGAAATCGAGCGCCGGTTATGATCTGACTAAGATATTCATCGGCAGTGAGGGTACACTTGGCCTGGTCACAGAAGCGACCTTGAAGCTGGCTGTCAAGCCGATGAATGAGGCAGTGGCAGTTGCATCTTTTCCGTCCGTTCATGATGCAGCCAGCTGTGTTTCGGAAGTGGTCAAACGGGGGATCAATATTGCCGCCGTGGAACTCCTGGATGATGTTCAGATGAAGTGTATCAACACGAGCCAAACAACGAGTCGTTCGTGGGACGAGGCTCCAACCTTGTTCTTCAAGTTCTCTGGAGCGCCCGGTGAAGTGAAGGAGAAGATTTCGATTGTTCAGAAATTAGCCGAGAATGCTAACAAGAAGACTTTCACATTCGCCCGCAACTCAGAAGAAGTTGATGAGTTGTGGAGTGCCAGAAAGGTAGCACTGTGGAGTATTCTGCAAATGAAACAGCAGCCAACGGATCATGTCTGGACTACCGATGTCGCTGTGCCCATGAGCAGACTACCCGACATCATCGAGCAAACTAGGGAGGAGATTTCTGCCAGTGGCTTACTTGGAGGCATCGTTGGCCATGTGGGCGATGGGAACTTCCATGGTAGGCACTCACACATATGCCAGGGTATTTGAAGTACTCACTAACCACGCCTTGAAATAGCAATGCTCCTCTTTAATGACGACCAACGCAAGGTAGCGGAGAGTGTTGTCCACAACATGGTTAAGCGTGCTGTGGAAATGGAAGGGACTGTCACTGGGGAGCATGGAGTGGGAATGGTGAAGAGGGACTACCTGGAGCATGAACTTGGTAAAACAACTGTCGATACCATGCGCAGAGTATGTTACAACCCTCACATTGTCCTCAGATTAAAGATTGACTATCTTCATAGTTCAAACAAGCTCTTGACCCTCTTTGTCTGCTCAATTGTGATAAGGTTGTGAGAGTTCAAGTCCCCAAGCAGGGAGAAGTCCCCGAGTGGTAAGGGTCAAGGATTGAATATAAGAACTGGAGTTCGTCAGTCTACGGAAGACAGTCAGTGAGTGCCTGGTGTCTGCCTGATCGTTACTCGACCTTGACGCGTTTGAACGTCACTTTGATACTTTTTTTGTATTTTTGTTTTCTTTCTTTCTTTCTTCTTCTTCTTCTTCTTCTTCTTCTTTTTTTTTAATCTCTACCGCTTTAAAATACCCTTCATTCCACCTTCAAATCACCTTGACAGTTCTTCATTCTTCCTTGACTCTCAATCGCCATATATCTTGGGTACCCCAGACTGTCATTTGGGGTCGCCTGTCGACCAAAATGGGAACTGATGGCCTTATATTCATCCGTTGCCACGGCAGATACTTCATCTACTACAATAATCTTGATAGTTATTTTGAAGGCCTTGGGGAGGCCATCGAACAACAGATTCCTGAAAATGTTGAAAAGTATCACGGTAGGCTGAACTGGACTAAGGGTTACCGTGATACATGCATGTTGTCTGATCCAGTACTCTGTAGAATGGCTCGAATCAATGCGAAAGGTATTCGCCGTAATTGTCCAGAAGCTCGAAGCACAGTATCTCCACTTACCATCCCTGATTCTCCTACACATGGAGACTCTACATTCTCTGTTGCCCAGAAGTACATGAAGAGCTACCTTGCCATTGATGACAGGCTTGAGATGCCACCAATACAAACCCCACTACTCCATATGTGGCGAGGCTACCCCGACTATACGTACACACTCGATCTTGACCGTGAGCTTCTGGGCGTTGACCACTCAGCGTATTTCAAGCTATCTAAAATCCCACGTGGTGGGCGTTGGCATCAATACCTCAATGAGGACTACAACCGCCGCCGTATGGTGTTGCGGGAGGACACCCCGGAAGATATTGTTGGCGATGTTGCCTTGAAACCGAGCATCAACAGTGAAGCAAGGGCCAACTATGATACCCTAGACATTGAAACAATGCCGTCGGAGGTTTTCTGTGGTTCATCCGGCACGCTGCTCCCCCGCGAGGCCTTGCTGCTGAGTACCTTCTCATGTATGCACAGCTCGTTCAAGAAACTCCTGGATCCGTTCATCTCGGAATGGACACCCGAGAGTTTTTCGTTCCGGGAAATAGCATTTGCGCTTCTGTCCATTGCTGCTGGTGAGGTGACCTTCGAGTCCGTCCGAACTCTCGATAGAAACTATGAAACAGAGGGCTACTACGTCCTTCCAGATGGTCGCTTGCTTCCACGTTTCCTGTATGAACGCCATCTCCCCGGTGTTGAGCCTGGATCAGCACCCCAAAACCGTACCTATTGGTTCAGCAATGTTCTTGTACACCTGGCTTCGAGGCTGGACATAGTCGATGTTGAAAAGGCAGCGGTTATCGAAGCAGTAGATGCCGGACTTGCCCAAGGTTTGGATGCATTCTATGCTATGGTCTTCTCACTTTCGGACGTTATCCTCGTCCATGTTCAGAAGGGGGGCGGTAAGGTGCGTGTTCAGAGGTCAGACTTGATGCCTCTGTTCTACTTTCATGAGGAGAGCTCCTGGTATCCAAACGGGCCCCGTACAAGGCCAACGCAAGCAACCCAGCCGCCTACGCCAGGTACCGATGCCAATTATGCATTGCAATGTAAGACACATACGGGGGATGATACTTCTCGTTGCAGCAAGGCGAGTGACGGCAATGATGACGAGAAGACCATGATTGAAGATAAACGGACAGATGACAGCATTACCTTTGCAGTGATGATGCGCTTCCTTGGTATGGCCGCCCGACTGCGTTTGGCGTCTGCGAAGCCACGCAGGGTCCCCAACGAAATTCTGACTTCCGTCATGCACTTCACGGACCCCCAAACGTACAAAAAGCTGACCAATGTGTCTGCCAGTTGCCGACAGTTGAGTGATCACAAGTTCCGTCTAAATGACAGCTACGATGTGGTTGGTATTGATGCCCAAAGCATGGGGACCTGCCGTCGTTTCATCATGGAAGATATCCACACTGGGGAGAGGTACTACCCCGAAATACAGCACGATAATAGCGACGCATCGGATTTCAGTCTAAGCCGCGATGCTCCGGAGGACATGCTTGAAATGTATATCGTGATCGGAGAAGAAACCACCAGGCGGAGTATCGTAAGCCTAGCAGCCTTGCGGTTCCTAAATTTGCCCCCAAAAGACACGGCCCGCACCAATAAAGTCCAGATGCCCATTGGGTAAGTCTTCTTTTTCATCCTGCCTGTGAGGGTTACTGACAACTCCAGGGAGTGGTACAACCACATGCACGCCGGGGTCATTTCAAGGCTCTTTAGAATACCTGATTATCAGTATCTCGGCTTTATCGAGAACGCATGGGGCATATACCTCCGTAGGATAATCGAACGAGAGACTAGAGATGCGGCAAACTTTTCCAGGTCGATAAATAGCGCCCCGTACCGATGCCTCCTGCCGCCAGGGTACCGTGAGCTGAGCATGTACTCATTTTCCTGCAATGGCCTGCGAGCCTTTCTGCGCCACCCACAAGATGAGCGTCGTGAGGAATGGACGAAGACCATCGAATACGCAGTGCACCAGCTTAATCGCCCAGAGCAATACCCCTGTGTGTTTCTCCTACGAGGGTGCCCTGTGATTCTAGCCTTTGGTACAAGGCTGAAGCTGTTTTACTATATCCATCGCCGCGAAGAGGCACCCAGCCTCCCGCCCAATGCAAGTCCCACCAGTATCCAGTTTGCTGTATCTTGCACCGACCCGGAGCCCAAGCATCGTCTCGTGCAGCTTATTCCTGGGAGCGAGCCGATCGATTTGAAGCATAGAGATGGCTGCGAAAAGTTTGAACAATGGGTCCAAGTCTTCTGTGACAAAGAAGATCCAGAGACAGAATGGGATCCAATTACTGGAGAATACATTACCATGGCTCGTCGAACAGAGTACTAGGCGGTGATCGAGCATGATATTTAGTCCTTACTGGATAGGCAAAACTAGTAGTAGCAGGTACCAAAATGAATTTGATTCTTTTTTTTCTTTACCTTCCCGAGATCTCGCCCTGTATGTAGATAGAGATGACCTCGTAACGAGCAACACCGATTCGGGAATAGGTAATGTTAGGGCTAGCAAGGATCATACGGACCCGGCTTGTGCTCGGTTGGTGTCGGCATATGGTGAGTCTGATATCACGTTGGACTATTCGGCTCCCCTCTGGATACTGGGTCTGAGTGGCCGCGGGGCTGGTTCTAGCCTGGTATTGACGTAGTGCCAGTGCACCGTTATTGCGAGTTAACCCGTATTGTATATTCAGTCATTATTTAGCAACTGTCACGATTGCCATGACGTCACTGGGGATTTCCGTTTAGCCAACGTCATGTTCTTGTGTGATCAGGGCAAAGAGAACGAAGGGACAACATATGCATGTATATGAGCTGATCGCAGAAAATGAATGTTGCGGCAGTGTCCAGAATAAGACGACGACAAAGCATGCGTAAATCTAAACATGTACAATAGGTATAATATTTATAAAACCAAGACCAGAGTCAAATCCAAGCCAACAAAACTCCATCCATCGTTTCCAAGAAAACAGTTTTTCCAACACGTCGCAAACAACCGCAAGATAATAAACTCCACAGACACCAGACCGGGAGGTCATCCATGCATAGCCAGAGCAAAAGCCCACGAGCAGTAGTAGTAGTAAAAAGAACGCTCACATAAAGAACGGCGGAGAACTCATCATGGCAGCGGAGAAGAAAGCCAGACTACTGATATTCAGCCAGCTTATCACCCACGGCTTCCAGAACCTCGCGCATGACCTGCTCCTGCGGCACATGGGCATCGATGGTCAGCGCATCCCATTCGCCCTGGGGCTCCTCGAGATCCTGCAGTTGCGACTGGACCATGGTGCTCTTCATGTAGTGGGCCTGGCGGGCGGCGACGCGCTGCAGGAGGGCCTTCTCGTCCAACTTCAGGTAGACGAAGTGGATCTGCACGGAGGGGGTGCCGTAGGCAGCCACGCGCATGACATCCCGGTACTTTTGCTTCAGGGCCGAGCAGGCAACCACCACGCCGGACGGGGGGTGGAAGTTGTTTTCTTCCGAGGGCGAGAGCGCCTTGATGGCTGCATTGCGGAGCGAGATGAGCCAGTCCCAGCGGTCTGCGTCTGTGAGGGGGATGCCGCTGCCCATCTTTTCCTTGTTCTTTTGCGAGTGGAACTAAATGTAACTGTTAGTTTGTGTGGGTTCATGCGACTCTTCAGGGCTTCGTCAGCTTACATCATCTCCTTCTAGGAATGGGACGTTCAGCGCGGCCTGCAGGCCTCGTCCCACCGTGCTCTTTCCACAGCCGGCAGGGCCCGTTACGACCCAGATGTGTTGGACTTGCTCCGGCTTGGGTTGGACGGACCACATCGGGGCGGGCGAGTGACTCAGGGAAGATTTGGTACGAGCCGCAGCGGCATTCTTGCCGATAGCTGGCTGGGGCCTTTCTCCGGCGGAGAGCATCGTGCGTTTTGTTTGTTTTTAAGAAGATGGAGGGAGTGGATGACGTGGTGCGATGGGCGCAATTCGTGGGAGAGGTCTGAACGGTTCGACCAATGGGTTGATTTGCGGTGTATACGTAGGGTTGAGCGGACAGAGAGATGAATGCTATAGTGCCAGGGCGGTTGGAAAGGCGAGAGGAATGGAAACCGAGAACAGGGATGGGCAGTACTATTAAACGAGCAAGAGAAGGAGGGAAAGGAGAATCACCGAGCACCGAAAAGTAGGGAATGAAAGGACATAAATCTCCTTCAAACGTAAGTATCAAATTTGGGTCGGTGGGTCAAAGGCCGGGGACGGTATTTTCATTTTATATTGGGAACTGGCTGGTATTGGGTCGTACAAACATGGGGCAAGAAGACCTTCATGATGGGAGAAATAAATAACCCCTAGTCAGTAATGCGCAGTAATGACAAGAATAATTATCATAAAACATCACTGGAAAAAAAAATCCCCTTGGAGTGGGGGGGAAAAGATTCAGCAGGGACGAAGCAAGCAAACCCCCATCATTTGAAACGGAGAGAGTCCAGCGGTCTGGTCATTAGCGGGAGATCCGATATAGTGTCAACGATTACTACCTTATTTATCCACTCGCCGTATCGTACATACCGTATCGTTCAATTCGGTATTTTTCCGGATAAAGGTCACAACCACCTGGAAATTCTCCTGGATGGCAGGCCATGGTCTAGAATGCGGAATGAAAGGATATCTACCGACGACTTCCCTGCTGGATTTTGAATTTCAACAAAGGAGAATACGAAAGCTCCAACTCAACTTGTGCGCGTCGTACCGTCGGAAAGGGCGGCAATTCTCCACGAGGTTCAAATGCCGCCGCCAGGTCTTGCGACCATGATGTCATGTCCTACACACCCCCCAACCCCGGGGCTTCGGAACGCAATACCGTACGGTCGTATGTATCGGTGCAATGTTACCGTACCAGGCCCAGTGGATGGGGCGGGTTCCCCCACGCTATGCGATTTTGGGCATGGGGTCACCTTCCGTTGTCTTTCGATGATGTTTCCAGGGGACCAAAATTAAAAATAAAAAGAACAATTGTCAGGCCCGAACCCTACTTGGAAAACTATGGGTACAATCTAATACATCAAGGGGGAAAGTACTAGTACCTGAAAATACTCTGCATGGTCAGGGCAAGCCCAGCGTAAATCAAGCTTCTGCCAGTGACTTCCCTTTCTTCTCCCCCAGAGTATATTCTAGTTTCTCTCCCCCTTTTTTTAACTTTCTACCAGGAAAACATGGGGTACCAACCTCGGAGTACCAGGCGGCGGCGAAATTAATGGACCAGTACTTTTGTATCAGGTCGATAGATCAATTTGACACGGGAAGAAAGGACAAACATCCTTGGAAATTTCTCCCATCTTCATTAACAGTGCTCCTGTCGTGTGACATGAACTGGCTTAAAAGTCTTTAGACCGCCATTTGGCCGAGGGTCGACTGGTCATCCCCCAGAACGTGACAATTATGCAGCAGACTGACAGGGCGGATTCCGGGGAAGACATGCAATGCAGGTCAAACCTTTTCAGACGTAGGTCGTATTCCGACCGTGCAACCTTATTTGTTGTTCATGTTCATGTACGCCGGAAATCTGTTTCCAGCGGCTGCACCTCCTTTCCGCCAATGATCACCCGAGTGTTTCCAATGTGTATGTGCCCAACAGTGCTGCTCAAAGCCAGTCTGGAGAAGAGCGAGGCAGGGCACGGATGCCGCATTTAATGCGCCTGACCCCTCTCGCTCAAAGGCATAGAGTTATAGGAAGTAGTACCACGTATGGGGGTATGGATGGATGTACATACTACAATCGTCGTGGCTCCTGTCAATGAGGCTGTTGGCCGGATCATTTTCGTATCGCTTGGGGCTGACTGTCAGGTGATACTGGGGATTAATGCATATCTTAATCAATGCTCCCCGTGCTGATCGGATTTTCCTCCAGTGATTTATCAATCTTATCATAATGTCTATCTTATATGGGGGAGGGCCGAAACCGTTATTGGTACACTCGACATGGACAGCGTGACCGCCGCCATGGCATCGGGCAGCAGAACTACGCAGTACAACTCGAGAGGAGCTTTGACCACGAACGATATAGTAGTACAAAGGCTCATGCGTCGTATTCTAACTGAGCAATGAGATCATAAAGAATCCTGGATAGGATGTTGGTGATGTAGGGCTTCTGGCCCTCTTGCAATCAGTAGATAAGTATCCAACTGGGGAAGGCGGTGAGTTACATAAGCCGTCATTATGCCAAGTCACGCCCCGAACCGTTGCGGCGGTCCGCGACATTGGCCATACTCGGGATATCCAACTCTAACTGGTGACCTTACCGACTGCACGATCTCCAATCAAGCTTTGTCGTCCTGTCAGTTCTGCAGTGGGCATTGAGCTGTCGACCTGACCCCTTGACCCACGATGACCTCCCTCTTCTTCTCCACCCCCGTCGATATTGACGTCGTCCTCGAAGATAGCGATGAACGTCAGACGGTGGATGTCAAGCTCGACAAGGGCCGGCGCGAGAGAGTCCCCCTGTATATGGATGGAGAATCGGTGAAGGGTGCCGTTACGGTGAGACCCAAGGATGGAAAGCGATTAGAGCATACGGGCATTAAGGTGCAATTCATTGGCACGATCGGTATGGACTTCTGGTTTCGTCATCATCATCGTCCCGCGTATCATGGTCACCGTCCATCGTGAATATACAGTCAACAATGCTGCGCTTAACATACGCTAACGCGAAACTTTCTCCCAGAGATGTTCTATGATCGCGGGAACCATTACGAGTTCCTCTCCTTAGTGCAAGAGCTCGCCGCCCCCGGAGAGCTGCAACACCCGCAAACCTTCCCCTTCAACTTCAAGAACATCGAAAAGCAATACGAGTCATACAATGGTATCAATGTGAAGCTGCGGTACTTCGTTCGGGTGACGGTCTCGAGGCGGATGGCGGACGTAATCCGCGAGAAAGACCTATGGGTGTACTCCTACCGCATGCCCCCGGAGACCAACAGTCCCATTAAGATGGATGTTGGTATTGAAGATTGTTTGCACATCGAGTTCGAATATTCCAAGTCCAAGTATCATCTCAAGGATGTCATTGTGGGGCGCATCTACTTCCTTCTGGTGCGATTGAAGATCAAACATATGGAGCTATCCATTATTCGACGTGAAACGACCGGATCTCCCCCGAACCAATACAATGAAAGTGAGACTTTGGTGCGGTTTGAGGTAAGCTTGCGGCTTTTTTCTACGATCCCCGAATTGCACAACAGGCCATTTACTGATTGGTTTTGCGATAGATCATGGATGGTTCGCCCTCACGAGGTGAGTTTTGAGAGTTTCTACTGTAATCTGAGGCATCTGCTAGTTTCTTGTGTCTATGGCCATAGAACCTGCGGAGCACCGGGTGTAACAGCACTTGTACTAATCAGAACCAGGCGAGACTATCCCCATTCGTTTATTCCTCGGAGGGTTTGACTTGACGCCAACCTTCCGAGACGTTAACAAGAAATACTCAACCCGCTATTATCTCAGTCTGGTGCTTATTGACGAAGGTATGTGTATCCGTATTTTTCATATTTACATGCCTTTTACCCTTTTTCTTTTCCATTACACGAGTTCGTTTTTCACCTTACATGCCGATCAATCTTCATCGTCTATGGCGTGGGCGGGTGTGGATACGCGGGGCCTGAAAACCTCAGGCTGCCGCTTTCTTTCTACAAAACATCCCACGGCATCCCACTCTCTGGGTCAATAACCGACCGGTTATTGACCAGTCGTCGGGCCATTCAAGGGCGGTTAATCGGGCCGGGAACTCGCCTAAGAGGTCGGCTGAGATGGGGGGCTCTCTTCCGAAATTCCCCCCGGTTGGCCGCCCCCACGCTAATCCGTCTCTGGAAATTTCCTCGCGTGGTCGGCCCCACCCCCAGTTTCCGCCGATTTTGCAGAAAGAGACACCGGATTACCGAAATTTTCTAGTCACCAGTATACTGACCCTCCCTGCTTTCCGAATAGATGCCCGTCGGTACTTCAAGCAGTCCGAGATCGTCCTGTACCGTCAGGCTCCCGAGATTGCTACCACGCCGCAGATCGCTCAGCAACAATTGATCCAACAACAGCAACTCCAGAACCAGCATCAGCAACAACTACCGCCGGGATCCGCCACCGCAGGCCCTGGACGGGAGCCACTACCTAACCCGGCAGTCACTGCCCCTGTGGCATAGTGTTCTGAAGCCGATCTAGTTCCGCTGTGTCGTTTGAAGATGATGACACTGTCTTCATGACTGCCGAATTGCTTAGTGTTCTACATATACCCAGTCTAATGCTGTACTCTGGCCCTGTTCACCTATCAGCCTGCCTTGACCTATCGTTCAATTCCTATTTTCATGTCGCAGCACTTGCGTAAGGGATGTCGCTTCTTTGGTTTCAACTAGCCCAAGTTCTTGAGCGAGGAGCTGGGCTTCGATTCAATGATGTAACGTATGATGTGAAAGGACAAAGCCTTCTACTGTAACCTAGACATGATCACCATTCTCATGTTTCCCACGTAAAGGAAGTGGATGTAGGGCACTGCCACATTAAGACAAGACAAAGTAAGATCAAAGTCTATGATTCTGAGTAACTCCTGCGGTCCGTAGACCGAAATCTATATGCGAATCATTAAAAGCCTCCGACCTCATGCAACACCTTCCCGAGAGCCTCGAGCACTTCTCCATCGTCTCTTTCCCTCCCCGCTACCTGCACAGCCCGCACAACAAGCGGGTATATCCATTCGAGATGCTTTTTATAATTCTGCTCGGTAGAAGGAGTCGATTCCTTAACCAGCATCGCTGTACTCATGCCCACTGGCGGGGAAGGGATGGCCGAAGGTTCGCTTCGCAGACGCACCATTCCCGTGAGGAGGTGCAAAAGCACCTTTCGCGCAGGTGTGGGCTGAGGCATGAGTCCGCGCAGGGGTTGGTCTGCAACATAGCCCTTCAGGGATACGGCACAGCGGAGGATCAGATAAGGGGTGATGGAACGAGCGAGTGCAATGCGTGACGAAGCGCGTGTCGAGTCTTCTTTCGAGGGAGCCGATGCCAGTTCAAACAATGTGTCGGTTACGGCATACGCCATTTTGGTTCGCGAAGTCGGTGGGGGGTCGAACGTCCTTCCGGGACGGACCTCATATAACCCTTTGAGAGGGTCGTCTTCCAGGCCTTTCTCCGGGAGATCAAATCGTTGAGGCAAGTAGATGAAGGAAGAACCCAATAATGCACGTGCGAAATCCTGTCGGATGGTGTCTGGGATGGTAGATGCCCCGAGAGCTGGGATGATGAAGGCTTTCAGTCTGTTGAAGGAGGCGATATCGAAGGATTCGTCTGCAAATATCGTTTCCCTAGGAATAGGAACGGTTCGGTAACCCCTGGCCGAGACTAGGCCATTTACGATGTCCACAACACATTTCCAGAAGCGGGAGATTTCTGGCTGATTTGACTTCTCGTACTGTTCTTCGACATAGGGAATGGCTACTTGAAGGGTGTTTAGGGCTGTTGTTGTCGACTTTTGCCACAGCATCGGCTCGCGATCCTTTCCAGGCCATTCATATCTTTGCAGGATTGGGTTGGCGAGATGCTCGAGAACAGCTGCTAGAGAGCCATTGCCAACTATATCCCTCTTTATGCCATATTCGGTGATATACCAGTTCAAGAGGTCCACTGTACTTTTGGAGAAGGCAACGTACGTCGGTTTCCTCGAATCGCTCCCTGGTGACCATCTCGTCAACGCAGAGTCGGCGAAGTCTGCAAGACATGCGATGATTTCTGATTGAGAATCTTCTTTATCTGCACAGAGTGTTCTCATGCAATCAACAATCGATGACTGCAGGTCAGATGGTCGGTCAATATCCGGAGAATATCGTGGTGAGATAGAGTTCCAAGCAAGATGCCGCATATTGTGGAGGATCTTGCCAATATCATCGCTTGTCAGGTCATCCTTATATAAACGATACACTTCCTTAAAGGACTGTAGATAGGCGATTGCGGCAGCTTGATTCGAACGATCCAGGTCCAGCAGATCTTCCCTATCAGCAGGGTGGCCACTCAGCCACAGGGCCCAGGTAGATTGCAGGGACGATTTGCTAAACATATCTGGACCCTGCACACGAACTAGAACACTAGACAGACTTAGATACACCGCTTCACTGAGGTCTAATATCTGCAAGGCGGTTAGCTTCTTCAAGTAAGCCAGGAGCCGTCCCCAGGATTGATCGAACTCCTCGTCTCGAATGATTGCTTCGAAAAAGTTCGTGATGAGGTCAGACAGTCCTTTGATGGTAACAACAAACGTTTCCACCCATGACTTGAGTTCGTCGGACTCTTTCTTGGTGCATCGGCCCCGTACTTCTTCCAAGCCCAGTTCAATCTCTTCCGTCATCCGGAATAACACGCGATTGAGACATAGACGCCATGCTTTAGGAGATAGTTGTTGGCCATAAGCATCGAAAATTCTCAAAAGAGTTTGAACTGCACAGTTTCGAATTTCAGCGCGATTATCTGTTGAGAGATCTACAATTCTTAAGAGAAGTAAAAGCCACAGTGCATTCCTGGAGATGGAGGAGTCATCGCCGTTAGCCAGTTCCACGAGTACCTCTTCCCTTACGGAGGCATCGACTCGAGACTCAATGGAAAAGTTGTCGATTTGTCCCTGAAGGAAATCAGAAACATTCCAGAACGACGAGGTCGTAGTCAATGATATGTTGAAATCTTGTTGCTGTAGAGCAAATTTTGAAAATGATTCCACAAGTTCCAAGCGGCAGGGCTGCGGAAGTAGCGCAATGAAGTCAGAGGCAATTAGCTGCAGGGACTTATAAGCAACTCGGATAAGACGATGCGAGTCTGCAACTAAAGTAGTTCTGCGGTCTTTGCCAGCAGCCCCAATCTCTGTTTTTTCTTTCACTGAGCAATGCCCAAACACGCTAGAAATAAGGTCAAATACGACGGCCCAGCCGCCAGCGAAGGTTTCCGCATATTGTTCTAGGATATTTTTTAGGGTCTCCAGGCTTTGTTCGTGGATCTCAGTAACAGGAGGAGACGGTGATCCAAGTGAGCAAGCACTTTTGTCATAGAGAATGTGGATCTGGTCCCTCAACGTTTCGAGGTTCCTCATCTGCCGAGAGTTACGCGCTTGGTCATCATCGCTGCCCATCTGCTTCATAGTTTGGAATACAAGAGTATTCAGTACATCGTTGGCTCGTAACCGGAGGTTTTGGCTAATCGATACATCCGCCGCAGTCAACATAAGTCTTTGCGTCAGTATTTGCCAAGCTTCGTGATCGCTCTCAACTAGTGATGACAATCGTTCTAAATTTGCCCTTGATAGCTCACCCGCTTTGTCCAAGACAAACTTTAGTTCTTCATCTTGGGCCTTGGATTTTCCCACGACTAGTGAAACACGACGGGTGCTTCTGCGCACAAAACCGGGTCGGAGCTGTGCCGACTGAACACTATCAGTTGTCTTCTCAGATGTCTCTCCTGATTGGGGCACCTCCGTTGCTTCAGAAAGATCCAAGAGTGCAATTAAGAGCTCTCGGAATGAATCATTCGGGTATTCACTCGTGCTCTCAAGCATTTTAGCAGAGGCTGTTTGAACAGCAATGATCTCGCCCCCAAGGCTAACCTTCGAACCATCAAGCGCGCCTGGAGCTTCAGATCCGGTTGAATATGCATTTGTCAACAAGCCTGTATCCTGCAGCGTACCGAGAATTATAGACCAGGCCGGCTGGTCTAAAGTAGGCCCTAGAGCAATTCCCAAGTTCAGTAGCGCACGCAGACATAACAGATTCCTCGTGCTGATAGATACCGATGGGGCATCCGGCGGTGCCTCAGACACTGGGGACGCGAGGGACATATCTCGGCTTTTCCTTTTCTCCTCTGCCGTATGCATATGGTGGGGAGCAGATGCGACGACCGATGGGGCCAAGCCGCTTGCATCCACTGGCATAGCAGCCTTTCCAAGAGTTGTCAGGAAGGCATCCCTAGGTGTAGATAATCTAAGAAGGCCAGCAACATGGGCTAGTTTCTGAAACGATCGAACCAGGTTATGGTAAAAGTCGTCATCTAGCGAAGCATACAAGAAGGTGGAGCATGCTGCAAGGACAGCAGGCCAGCAATTCTCGATTATTCCGGCACAAGTCTTGATTGCCGGAAATTGAGAATGAGATTCCAAGTCCAAAGGATTAAGCGGCACAGGTGATTTCTTATTATTCAGCCTGTGAGCACTTTTTGACGAGTTCGTCCTCTGAAGGTCATGCGAGGGTCTAGGAGAATCCGCATTTTGGTCTGGGTTTCCAAGCCGACTTCTCCGTTTTTGTTTCAGATCGGGCACCGTCAGGGGAAGGATGAACTTGGCAAGGCCTTCTGCGAACGAAGAAATGCAATTGAGCACAAGGCTATAAATATAAGTGTCGGGAGGCGGTGGAGGATCAGTCTTGTCGAGCAGCTCCATGTAAGGCGTACGAACTATACTCCACTGACTACTAATTCCTGGAACATTTGTGTCAGTAGATGATACTGACGTTCCAATCACGCCAGCGACACCACCCGCTTCAAGAGTGATCTGTTCTTCAGTAATGGACCTCGAGTGTGCGGCCTTTGAAGGCACAGTTGATCGACTGCTAACGCCAATCAACGACGGTTTCTCAGATGCCAAGCGAACGAGAGCAGCCATGTGTTCTTTGAGGATATTCTTCCTCCGCTCGTCACCATCGTACAGTGAGTAGATAATTCGGACTAAACCAGGCTCGGCATAAAGTCCTCGGAAAACTTCCATGCACAGGACGCGCTTCCATGGCAGACTTCCATCAGGTTCGAGAAGGTGTGTCAACAAGCCAAGAGCCATCTCACATTCCGCGGGAAGAAGAGACATATGACGCTTGAGGAGGACGAGGAGAATCCGAGCAACTCGAATAGTCTGAGCGAAAGAATGCCTTTCGGATAAGTATCTCACAGTCATTGGCATAAGCCGGGTTCGCAGCACATGCGCAAGCTCGGCATGGCCAACAAAGAGACGGCCACTATTGACCAGAACACTTTCGATGAGTTCTAGTGTGAATGTTGGAGATAGTGACTTGATGCGTAGGAATTGCAGCTGCTCGCCATCCGCAAGTCGGCAAAGATCGTCCAAGACCTTCAACATATATTAGCAGGGTGAAACGCAGCATTGGGCGCGGTGCTCACTCGTAAGGCATCGTACGCAAAGTATCCGATATTTACAGGGTTTCCATCAATTTTGACGGTTACCTTCGGCCGGGACTCCTGGGGAGTTTCTGGAAACCGGGTCAGCGGCAAAGTATGGTAGGGCTACATCTAAATTATGAGAACTGACTGTCTTCAATGAGGACTCGCTCAAATGTCGATACAATTAGTTGTTGCAAGGTAGCCGCTGCTGTACTGGAAAGTGCAAGGGTCTTGCTTGCTTGTAGAGTGGCACAGATCTCTAATGTGGTTACAAGAAGCTCCCCGCCTAAGTCATTTGAGTAATGCTGTAGCAGAGAAGGTAAAGATTGTAGAATTTTGAGTTGTATATCCAAACCTGGTTATGATTAGTATTGCATGGGCGCGAAGGGACTAACACCTACTCAGACTCGTTGTTTCCTTTAACCCACCAAGGACATCTTTTAGTCTCTCAGATGGTAGCGCTCGGGATGCCACCAGCCTTTGCAGGCAAACAACTCCAATGCCCGCGAGCTTTGCATGACGCGTATGGCAAGCTAAGATGAATGGATCGACAAATTTAGGTTTGCGTACCAGATCTCTTGGGCTCTCAGTAAATCCGCCGATAATTGACTGAATTAGGATGTAATTCCGACTCACCGGCAGCGATTTGAGACTCCGAAGTGGAGGGCAAAGCCTTCAGCTCGTTGAGAGACGCTTCGGCGGCCTATCTTTCAGTTAGCTAGAGCATAGGATATCCCTTTTGGCCGGCAGTTAGCTCACATGGCGGAGGTCAGAATTCTTTCTCTTGGACTCTTGAATTAGGTTCAAGAGTTCCGTCTGTAGAAGCTGAGAGGACATTTCCAACTAGTTGCTGGGTCAGATCATGGCAACCGTCGTTTGAAGTTGCCTGGAGCTCGGAGTTAAGTAGAAAACAGATATGGTTTCATGAAAATGTTGACTGCTATTTGGTTTTAAACCACGAGAACTACAAAATGGCTCGGCGCCTTGTGAGCAATAACGCCGTACGCGTTCCCAGGAATGGCAGACGGAGCACCGGTGCTTTACAAGTAATTGACACCGGATTGCAAAGTGTATGCCTTCCCAACGACAATCGACCATAGCATCCGGCGTGGCATCTCCGGTAAAGCCAAGACGCTAATGGGGATAGGCTCCACACGTGACGCACCCAATCCGTTATCATCACGTGCGGGGTGACTCTTCAGGCCGATACGATACGCAGGGCAAACCGGGCGGTATTGTTGCTTGAAGGTGGGATTTGAGCCCCTCCTCCACTTCGGTCACAGAATTCCATTTTCCACCTCCATCCCTTATATTCTGCCAAAGCTATCTGTGCAATCTACTTTTATAAATCACACATTTCTATTATACAACAATGTCAGCTAAAATCCCCAGAAACTTCAAGCTCCTTGAAGAGCTCGAGAAGGGCGAGAAAGGCCAAGGAGCAGGTAAGCGTGACATCCCACCGACGGTTACATGCGCCATCCCGCTGATGTACATTGCGTTCACAAATCAGAGGCTTGCTCCTACGGTCTTGCGGACGGAGAAGATATGATGATGAGCAACTGGAACGGAACCATTCTCGGCCCTCCTCATGTTCGTCTTCCGGTGGTTCAACCAATGTCGTACAATATGGCAACGTCACTAATGCGGCAACATCCAGAGTGTCCATGAAAACAGGATATACAGTGTCAACATCCATTGCGGTCCCGATTACCCAGACAATCCTCCTGAGATCCAATTCATCTCACGGGTTAATCTGCCTTGTGTAGACCAACGAACCGGCAAGGTGCGGCTTCCATTGTATCCTTGATCATGCGGATGGCCTTTGACATTGATTCTGGCTAGGTCGATCCCACAAAACTGCCATGTTTGGCTCAATGGAAGCGCGACTATAGTATGGAGACCATTTTGCTCGAAATGAGAAGGTATGCAGCGCCCCGTTTTCCCCGTTAGATCAAGCCAACGCTTAGTATCTCAGATATATGGCTCTTCCGCAACACAAGAAGCTTCCTCAGCCTCCGGAGGGCTCGAACTTCTGAGTCGATGATATTGCAGGATACATGATCGGAGTATTGTGGTTAGTTTTGCGTCAGGTCTCATCATCTCATCTTTTCTCTTCTTTCATCATTAGAGCGTGTACAGTCTATGCATAACGGCAGGCATGGCGTGAACTCCTTCTGAGCCTTCAGTTCATTATTATTTAGAATATCTCGAAGTATCTATATGCCTCCAAGTGGTGGACTTACTACCTCGATAGGCCTAGGTAGGTTAAATCCTCGACTCTTGATTTGGGAAGAAACAAAATGCACGAATACGCCGGGACCTTCAAGCCGGTAGTAAATCGAAGTTGTGCGTGAACAGACTAGATTTGGGAGAATCCCGAGACACAATACAAGTGTTTCATGCAAGGCTTGATGTCCAAATGAGGATGGAATTATTTTGCCTATGTGCAATTGCCAGACCTTTGTGGTCTTTATACTAGCCACGGTCGTGTGCGTGATTCCCCTGCGACACGTGACATCACTTGACAGGCTTAATCGTCACAGGTCCTCCGTAGTAATCCCGTTAGCACTCTCGAACAATGCATAAAACCGTAGTTCCCAGGAAGTCTGGAGTGCATAGATTTGCCTGTAAGTTCAGGAACCATGTCAGCAAAGCTACACCATTGTCAGAATTAACACAATTCTCGTTCAATAGGTTTAGCACTTTATCGGGCACTTCTCCGACAATGCGCAAAATTACCGAACACCGCGCCGGAGCTTAGCAGCTGCAAGCCACTCATACAACAAAAATTTCAGAGATACAAGAAACTCCAAAGCCCGTCACAAGCAGTCAATGCCTTGAAAGCTGGGTATGAGGTATATACATGTTGCGCGATCTCTCTAGCACAGAACCGCCTCCGTGGCTAATTCTTCCCTATCTTTAAGGCTCTCGACCTGCTTCATTCAGCCTCGCAAGGAAATCAACGCAATACAAACCGCATTGTAGAGCTCATGTCAGAGATTCAGTCGATAAAGCAGAGAGAATCGGCGCTGCAGAGAGAGCTCTCTAAGAAGGAACCGAAGCCATTATCTCGGAAGCAACAAAAGACAAACGAGTCTCGGCGTTTACAAGACCAAACCGCCCGACGACATCCGGATGCCACTTCTATTCTTTCTCGTCCTCGACCCGTCGTGAGCGGCAAGCGTCGGGTTCCCGTTCTTGTGAACGCTCGGGGAGTGCCCTTCCTGCGTATCAAAAAACCCCAACCCAAGAATTTAAGCGGCGTGATACGGTCAAAACTTGAAAATCGATGGAACCGTATTCAACGCGGGATAGGCTGGACCGTGAATTACTGTTTGCCAATGACGAGGATAACTGGGACGCTTTGACGACTGGGTCTGAGCCCGACACATGGGCTGAAGGGGTCAAAGACGCATTGGGGACGCTTAACCAGCAAATCCATGACTCTGACAAGAAAAACATAGAACTTGCAGAGGCCATGTGGAATATTGTTCTTGCCGAGCGCAAGTTGGCAGCCGAGGAAGAAAAACAGAAGTCGACTGAAAAGCCAAGTGACACTTGATTTCCTACATGGCCTGATGCGGTAAGGTCCTATACGATTGGATGTGCCACCCATGTTGTTCTGCTCCGCAATCGAACACGGAACAGAGCACGACAGAAGAATGCCATTCCAGGTCGTCTCCTGGCACTTGCATGGTAACAATAGCGGTCGCATCGTCTACGTTGTACAATAAACGAGCTCGTATACATGTAGACGGCCGCCACCCTCTTTTAACACTGTTCAAGGGGTGGAATATCCCCAGAAACGAGCCACATGCCGACTGAACATAACCTATTGCAAACTAAGATAGGACTTGTTCACCACTCGTCCGTCTAGTTCGAATTCCTCTGCACACGAGGCTGTGAACCTGGAGACCAGGCGATATGCATTTATCCAACTTTCAAACTACCTAGAAATATGAATAAGTCATACTTGCATCCCAATTGCGAAACAAGGTCCTTTTCAGTATAATTTCTATTTCTGCATAGATTTACGAAAGAGTGGACGGGGTTTAATAAGGTAAAGAGACAGAAACATTGTCTGTCCATGAACGTACGCCAGCTGCTAGAGTCAGAGTAGAGGTATTTACAGAACTTCATCTATTTGCATGACGCTAGAGTATAAGATAGAAGGACTCATAACAGGTAAAGTCGTCAAGATAGCGATACGCTACGCAGCAAGCTTCATCTTCTCAACAGCAGGCAAAGCATCTTCACCTTCCTCATCAAAGTCTCCCTTGCCAGCGAACCCTCCCTCCCATAGTTGTCTCCCAGTCATCTTCTTCTCTTCCTTGCCCGGAGTCTTCTTATTGGCTTTCTTATCCTCCGCTTCTTTCTCTTCTCGTTGCCTCTTCTCCTCTTCCTCCATCTCCGCCTTAAACTTCTCTAGCCACTCTAGGAATGTCTCTCTGGTCACGGCTGTACCATGGAACTTTCGATTCTCCTCCTCTTCCGCCTTAGCGGCTTCCTTCTCTTTCTCCGCATGGACAGCATTCACCCGCTCGGACATTAATTGTTCGGCATTCTCCTTGAGAGCACTGACGAGGGTGAAAACCATGGCCATCCCCAGGTTCTCCTCAATAGTAGGCTGTAAGGATTCGAGTAGTTGGTCCCGATCTTCCTGGACATCTAGCCGAGGGTGTCTGGGGGCGTTCGGGGGAGCGGATAGTTCGAGCTCCGGAGCAACATCGGGATAATCTGCAGGATATGAGACCTGCAGGAGCAACACGGGCTGTTCAGCTTCTTCGACGTCATTGTCCGGCGCGTCGAGGACGATTGATATCCTGTATGAGGTATCCGATAAATCTAAGAATGTTAACAATAAATAGCCCTTTGGTGCGCATAAACGAAGCTGTAATCTCACCTGTGATTTCCTCTGGGAAAATGGAATCGAGCACCTCGCGCTCTTCAATCTGATCTTCGCGGCCCATACTGTTTCAATTCTGCGCCGATGGGGGGGGTTGGAGGGGTACGAGTAGTGGGTGTTGCAAAGCGAGAACGACCGGATTGCCGCGCCCACACAAGGATGGCTACTTCAAGTATATAGCACTGTAGATGTAAGATGCGACAAGACAGCAGGGCAATCCTTTGCTGCGTGAATTAAAGCTGGCTGGCGTAGGATTCGGTCATGAAGTACCCCATGTATAATATTGCAGTCCCACATGCAAACCAGACAAACAGATAAGAAAATGCCCAAAATTATTTGATCCGAAAAGGGAATTTCAATGCTCCGCTTTCTTGACCTTCCAAAGCTCCCCAAGTATATAAATCTATCTTCTGCAAGAAATTTACTGCCATAGATCTTTTCCTTCCTTTTTGATCCGTTCACTTGAACTGTTAGAGTACGTTGAATATCTCTCTTATATAATCTAAACGCCGATCATGGGTAAACCCAGACCTCACAAAAAGAAAGCATCCAAATCCAAGTCCAAGTCCGTTCTCAGCGCTGGCGGCTCGGTCTCGAAACAGAAAATGAACGAAGATCCTTCCAAGCTCCTCGAACAAGCGACAACACTCCTCCAGACAGGACAGCCAGATGTAGCGCTTCCGGTTGCCCAACAGGCGCTCGAACTTGCGCCGGCCAATTCGCCCGCCCAGCTTTCGGCCTTGAACATCGTCGCGGAGATCTACGTTGAACTGGGTGAAATTGATGTGGCGAGGCAGCATTTTATGCGCGCGGTTGAGCTGGACCCGACTGGCGCAATTCCTGAAAGCCAGGGAGGTGGCGCTGAGAAGTTCATGTGGCTTGCTCAATTGAGCGAGCTTGGAGGCAAGGACAGTGTTCAATGGTTTGAGAAGGGTGTTTCTTGTCTCAGGCAAGTTATTCAACAGCTTGAACAGAACCCGGGTCCTGCAGAAGCTATTGAGTTGGAGGAGAAGAAACGGAAGATGGCAAATGCCCTATGTGCTGTTGCTGAGATCTACATGACCGATCTTTCGTGAGTTATTGCTCTATGTCCTTGGTTGGTCCGTGGAGTTCCTTTAATTTAACAGCGACTAGGTGGGAAGAAGATGCTGAAGCCCGTTGCGAAACTCTCATTACAGAGGCTCTTTTGGTCAACTCAAATGCACCGGAAGTGCTACAGACTCTCGCCTCGATCCGAATCTCACAGCTGCGAACGGATGAGGCTCGCGCGGCACTCACAAAAAGTCTTGAGCTATGGAAGGACCTACCACCCGAGGACCCGACAGTCCCCGACTTCGCTACAAGGATAAGTTTGGCTCGTCTATTGATGGAGGTCACCATGGAGCTTGAAGCACTTGAGGTCCTAGAACGTTTGATCTTAGAAGATGACCAGAGTGTAGAGGCATGGTATCTCGGAGGATGGTGTCTCTATCTTCTCGCCGAGAAGAAGGAAGCGCCCAAGGAGGAAGAGCTGGACAGTGAAACTCCCGAGGCAAGACGCCATGCCTCACTGGTCGCTAGCCGGGAATGGCTGAAGCAGAGCTTGACCCTCTACGAATCGATTCAATACGAAGATGTGAGGCTCAAGGAGCATGCGGATGAGTTGGTCGAAGCGATGAACAAAGAATTAGGGGAAGATATGGAGGATGACGGGGAAGGTGAGGAGGGAGTGGAGGGCTGGGAGGACGAGTTTGAGTCGGACGGCGATCAGGAGATGGCCGATTCATGAAAAATTGCATGATCTTATGAGAATCCTGTCATGATACCAACCTATAGAAAAAAGTCACTACTGTTTACGATATACGAACGACGTGGCCCGCGTCCAGGGGGCGTGGTTGATTGACTGGCCGACCCTCTTTTTTTGTATCCGTCCGCCGTAAGCCCACTTCGCTCGTAAAGCCATGCGATACTTATTGGCCCATCCTCCTTTGTCACTTGATACTACCGACTTATCGCCCCAGAAGCCGGTGTCGGATAAATCCGCTCCGACCGCTTTCCCCGGAGATTCGCAGAGCCAGATTTATCCCGGCAGATCGTACATTCGCGTGGCGAAAAATTCAATGTGAGTTGAGGCGTTGTCATTGAGGTTGCTGGAAGCGTCCTATCTCCCATACAGGATGGACCTTATACCAGCACCCGGCGGGGAGAGCTCTTCGTTGAAGAATCCGGTGGTCGAAGTGGAAGCCGTCGATATGACCTCCGCGGAAGTGGAAGGGACCGTTGCGACAGAGAATCCTCTCTCTGCGCAAGGCAATGTATCTCCGTCGGAAGAGGACTCGGATAGTGGTGAATCGGGAGACGAATGGGAAACACAGTCACTCTATGAAGACGCTATCCAAGTCCTTCGTGACGAGCAACTTCGGGAAGGGGGTAAGCGTTTCATACTTCGCGCAATGCGCCTGAGCCTTTGCATGCTTCAAATTTCATCCGTTCGTTCGCTGACCTTTCCCGCCTTTAGTAGTACCTGATGCTTGTACATTAGACGAGGCGATTGCATTCCGAAACCGCCTCCATGAAGTTGGCAAGGCCGCGTTCGTTGAGGAAACTATTGCCCAGGACAAAGTAACGGCGAAGAAGCTATGCACTGCATTTGGGATCATGCCCCCGGCTTTCCTTGAGGGCGCGCCGGACGAGGCCTATCACCCTTTGCTTGCGATTGGGATCTCGCAAGAGTTCTCTCGCCGGAAGAAGCTTCCACAGTATAACACGATCGACGATGCGGTCAAGTTACTTCAGGAGTCTAAGAATATTATTGTTTTGACGGGCGCTGGTGTGAGTGTCTGCTTTAGATTATCCGTGATGTATGTATGCACTAATGGTGTCGCCAGATCTCCACGAGTCTCGGTATCCCCGATTTTCGGTCCAAGGACACCGGACTCTACTCGCAATTGGCGCATTTGGGTCTAAGCGATCCGCAGGAAGTTTTCGATATTCATATCTTCCGCGAGGACCCGAGCATCTTCTACTCGATTGCGAAGGATATTTTGCCTACTGAGAAGAAATACTCGCCAACTCATGGGTTCATTCGACTTTTGCAGGATAAAGGAAAGCTCCTGACCAACTACACCCAGAACATCGATAATATCGAGGCGAACGCAGGCGTTCTTCCCGAGAAGATTGTGCAGTGCCATGGCTCATTTGCCACGGCCACCTGTGTTAAATGCCAGTATCAGGTGTCAGGCGATGCGCTCTACGAGGACATCAGGAAGGGGAACGTTCCTGAATGCACTTCCTGCCAGAAGGAGATTGAGGAAGACTCTTTGAGGCCACAGGGGCAAAAGCGCAAACGTAGCACGAATGGGACACACAAGAGCCGAAACTCTGATGGGGACGAGAGCTCTGAAGAGGAAGACTACGAGCTCCCTACCCCCGGGGTGATGAAGGTGCGTGCAGCATCAGCCTTGCTCTTCTACCCCACAGTTTATCCACTAACCTACCTTTATTTTAGCCTGACATCACCTTCTTTGGCGAAGATCTTCCCGACGAGTTCGGACAGCGTCTGATTCGCCATGACCGTGACAAGGTAGATCTGGTCATCGTCATTGGTACCTCGTTGAAAGTCGCTCCTGTAGCAGAAGTGCCAGGCGTGTTACCCCGTCATGTGCCTCAGATCTATATCTCTCGGACTGTAGGTGATCTCTTAACAACCTTATCCTCCAATTCATATGCTAACCATCCACCTTAGCCCGTGTCGCATACGGGCTTTGATATTGATCTCTTAGGCGATTGCGATGTGGTGGTGTCTGAGCTCTGTCGACGGGCTGGATGGGACTTCAAACATGAGATGATTCCTCCCGACGAAAAGGTCGAAATCACTCCTGCTGAAGGATATGAGTCACGACATGTGTTTAAGGTAGTCGGCGCATAGCGACGGTGTTCGGTCATAGGATCTCTGGTCCCTGTCTATTGAGGGACGGCGTACTGTACGGTTCTTCTTATGATGATGAAGTTGTTGCTGTGGGTTCTTGTTTTGGAGGGTTTCGTACGTATTGAAGGATGGACTTTTCTTTTGTTCCTTTAGACTGTTGTTGCGCTTTTCTTGATGCTTTTCCTCTAGAGATTGAGTAGCTACGGCTTCTGCGTTTAATTGACTTGAGCATGAACAACACCACGAAAGAAATCATCCACCATAATTTAGTACATTGTAGTCATGAATACTTTCTGAAGGGCAGGTTGAAGGATATAAGAGCTCTTGTGGGTTCCCGTTGCCTGCAACATCAGTAACAGAAATTCTGAGCGGCCAAAAAACTGAGAAGAAAAAATAAAATAAAATAAAAACCATCACGTTTACCTCGTACCACACAGCCATTGGCGCCTTCAACCCACCAGCACATAATCGACGGTCTAACTACCACACCAAGTACTATTCTGGGAACAAGAGCGATTCCAGACCCCGTCGATTAAGACTCAACAGGCCCGACCAAGTCTGGTGGGCTTCAGTCATCATGGAATATGTGATCCGCTTCGCGCAGGTCCACGAGACTTTTCGACGACCGGAAATCGAGTCTCTGGCCGCTCTGGCCGGAATTGATCTGGAAATCCTATATTACGACCAATTTGTATGTTCCTCTAAATACTTGATATAATTTATTTTGTTCCCCCTTGCAACATCTTTTACAACATTACACCAGTATACAAGCACTGAGGGGCAATAAACTGTCCCGCAGATTTCTCCCCACCTCACCCTATACTTATCCCACTGTATGCGAATGGAACTAACACGCGCACTAGTCACCATACTGCGTAGTAAAACTACCCAATGAGGCAGATGCACGCACCCTGATTTCGCGCAGTATCTTAGCCAAAGATATCTTCGAACTCTGGGGCCAAGGCACCAACTATGAGGAAGTGCACGCCGACGTCCGCAGGCGGACCCAGCACCGCTGGGATGAGTTCCAGAAAGTGTCGTTCCGGTTCACGATCGACTCATTTTCTGGGAAGCGCAGCATGGAGGCCAAGCGAGCCATCATCCAATCGTTCGCGTATCTGGGCTTCGACGGTCCCATCCGGATGAAGAACCCCGACGAGGACTTCTGGGTCCTGGAAGACTTCGTTTCAGACATTGAGATCGCGACGAGAGCGCCCGGTGCAACACACGCCTACAGCGACGTCCAGGACCCCAGGAAGATCTATCTCGGTCGCTGGATTGCGAACAGCAGTCGCGATATCGTCCTGAAATACGACTTGAAGAAACGCCGCTATATCAGTACCACGTCTATGGACGCCGAGCTGAGCCTCGTCACGGCCAATATGGCCCACGCTGCCCCCGGGAGACTGTTCTATGACCCTTTTGTTGGGACGGGGAGCTTCTGTGTTGCGGCAGCGCATTTTGGAGCCTTGACCTGTGGGTCTGATATTGATCCACGGAGTTTCAAGGGCAGGGAGAAGAAGGAGAAGGCGCCTATGGGGTTGTTTACCAACTTTCAGCAATATGGCATTGAGGGCAAGTTTATGGATGCGTTCTCTTCGGACTTGACGAACACACCGCTGTTGAATCGTCAGTTCTTGGATGGTATTGTCTGTGACCCTCCGTATGGTGTCCGTGAAGGCCTTAGGGTTCTGGGCACTCGGGACGGTAGTGGTCGAGAAGAGGTTATCATTGATGGCGTTCCAGCGCATTAGTACGTCCTTTCTTCGATGGTCCCCATTGGGTCCAGACTTTAACTAACATACGAACTCCAGTCGACCTGGTTACATCCCTCCTAAGAAACCGTACGCTTCGAAGCCATGCAGAACGATATTCTCGCCTTTGCGTCCCGGACCCTCGTCACCGATGGCCGTCTCTGCATGTGGATGCCCACCTCCATCGACGAGGATGTGGAGCTGCTCATTCCCATGCATCCACACTTGGAGGTTGTCAGCGTTTCCGTGCAGCCGTTCAATCAATGTTAGTAGAGCATCTATCAGATCTCACTAATATCTCTTATTAATCGCTACTCTAGGGTCCCGCCGATTGATCACCTACCGAAGACTACCCGAAGGACAGGTCTCCGACATTTCAAAGGCACGACAGAAGGGTGACTCGGAAGGAATCAGCGCCGATGATCTGAATGCGTTCCGGAGAAAGGTATGCCATGCAGATCGTCTATCATACACCATCGAAGATCGTAACTAACAAGTTTGAACCCGTTCAGTACTTCACGAAAAACCCTAACAAAAGATCCGAGAAAGGAAGCCCAGCACCGCAACAAAGCTGAGATGAATGAAATATGAACAGAAAAAGAATACGAAGCATGTACATAGAAAAAATAAAACATCCCACTAAAGCTTCCCCTTCACCTCCCTCTCATCACCAGATACCTCACATTCCAAGTCCACGCCCATCCTCAGAACCTCCTTCGCCAACTCACCCCGTAACAAACCCGCCAAGGCCTCGCCCTCATCATCATCCAACTCATCTCGCTGCCCACGCCCAAACATCACAAAGCTCGCCCGGGCAGCATTAGGCGCCGGGTTAGACGACGGCCTGGGAATGATGTGAAAATGGGCATGAGGAACCTGCTGCGCGGCCCTGACTCCTGTGCTTTACCATCAATACACTTGATCCCCAGGCTGGTCCATGAGTGTGACAAGAGGAAGAAAAGTCGGGACTATACCATTATTCTGTACCACGTTCCAGTTCCAGTCTGAGCTGCTGTCCTGGTCACCGGAGATGGTCCGCATGACGACGCGCGAGAGGATGGGTAGCCATTGGCCGAGCTGGATGTGATTAGTTCAATGTTTTACTTCAAGTGCTGCTGGAGATATCATGTAGACAATGGAAATGAATGAACAAAATAGGAGTGTAATACGTACCTCGCGGCTGACCTTCACGTCTACGTCGCCGAGTTTCTCATAATGCGTCCTGGGAATCACCAGGACATGGCCCCGGGTCAGGGGCATGATGTCCAAGAACGCTAGGACATGTTTGGTGGAGAGAATCAGATGTGCGGTTGGCTGGGTTGGGTCGGATGCGTCTGGTAGGGGGATTAGGGAAGTATATGGCTTGGTTGTATTTTGGGAATTGGGAGGAGTATTATCTGGAGTGAAGGCTGTTGGAGGGATAGGCGGGTATGTGCTCGCGATGTTACAAAAGGGACATGACGATGGCGTCGACATAGTGGCGTATTTGCGTTCTAGGGAGCTTGAGTGATCAGATATCGGTCTTAAATGATTTAGTTGTTTACGGAGAGGCCATACGAGACCTGAGGTGTGGGAATGTCAGGGCTGAGATGCAATCCAGCGGGAGTGGCAGAGCATCTCGCTGGACCTCGGTTCATGGGGGTTGATCGCTATACCGACTAAACAAATCCATAACGGTCACCCAGCAACTAATCCTCAGTCGCAAATGGTCCAGGTCTTTGAAAGCTGAAGCCAGCAGCTCCAGTGTACATTAAATTCCCTAAACACACATTACGATGACCCTCCTCCCCCTTCTATCCCATTTATCACCCCCGTAAAACACGAAACACACTAAAGATAACTCCAAAAACGTTTTTCCTTTCTTCCTGTTAGGTTTTTCCTTCCATTCGAGATACCATTTACCCCGTAACCTGCGGCCGTGGAAATGCAGCAGCACTTACATCGTCGCCTCCATTCTCCGAGGACGAGGAAGCGAACGTGCTGGCAGAAGAAGACCAGTGGGGAACCAAAAAAGAATTGCAAATACATTGCCGACCCTGGGCATCCGACGCCTGTAATACAAACAGGGGGAGAAGGAGAATGTAAAGGTATCAGAGGAAGTCAAGTGTGAAGAAACCCAGACACACTGCCAAATCGAAGAAAGCAAAGATGGAAAAGAAAGAGAAGAGCTTGAAAAGAGCGCCCGACGCCCCGAGTAGAAGTGAATAATGCAAACATCCGCAGCTGAAACAGAAAAATGCCGTCGTAAACATATGCAAGAGGTGTCCTATACCATCACAACCGAAGAAATGCCATATATCGAATCAACCAACTCCTCCCCTTACACCCATCCCGCCAAGGAGCAAGATCTTGGCTCATCACGGGTGTCGCAAACCCCCCTTCGTATTTATTCATGATCCTTGATATAGTTGTACGGTTCTGAGAGGGAGCTGTCGATGTACAGGTGGTGATACTTCTTGGCCCATTGGCGGGTCAAAATGGACGCTATGAAACCTGTCAGCCGCTGCAAACACGTCGAGACAAGGTCTGTGCTTACCTTTGAGGAACTTCTTGCTGGCATATTTCTTGAAGAACGCCTCGTGGCAGACCGGGCGGTGAAGATAGTCGATCATGAGACGGAAGACAGGGTCGATCTGCTCTTCGTCATATCCAGCATAATAAGCCAGGGTGGCATCCTACATCCCGTTAGCAATTCCCAGTGTCCCCACGCAGCAGCAATAATAACAACATACCCAAGGCCCACGCTCCAAAATGAGACGTGCTAGATACATGGCGGCGGCGGACACGTGACTTTGACGGTAAGCCATGAACCGGTGATCGAGTAGACTGATTTCCATCAGGTACTTTCCGAGGGTACGCGTTTGGATATCATAGTTGTCTGCCTTGGAAATACGACGCAGGAAGTTCATCGGGTTGGGATAGCTCATGTTGTACTCGAGAGTCGCCAAAATGTGACGCTCAGCGTCCAGAATCTCCTTATCGGTAAAAGTCTCGTCGGCGACGTGGCTGAAGTTGGCCACATGCGGCGAGAGGACCTCCTCGTACTTGGACGCGATGAACATAGCCGCAACTCCAACAAGTTGCAGACGATCCAGAGCCACCACCTCAGCCGACAGGAAACGATCGATGATATTGACAGCGAGGAAAAGGGTTTCAGGCAACAGGCGGAAACGGGTGTGAACCTCAATGAGCCAGTCAACAAGGATCCCACGCATCTTCCACTCCAGATCCGGTTGATGGTCAATGTAATGGGGGTTAGGTAGTGTCTCGAGTTCGAGGTCCTTCATGTATTCGAAGATCTCCACCACATATTCGGCCACCATCAAGGGGTCATCCAAATCCTCAGTATCCAAATCCTCCACGAGATCTTGGGCGGGCTTCTGCAGGGTCTTCTCAACAGGAGCTTCGACATTTTCCTTGGCGGGAGCCTTCTCAGCGACAAGCTTCTTTTCGGTGAGCTTCTTCTCGGTGAGCTTTTTCTCGACCTCCACCTTCTTGCGGGGTGGCTCTTCGACCAACACGTCTTGCGTGGTTTTTTGGCGCTTCTGTGCACTATCCTTGATAGATCCGGGTCCCGAGCGTTTTTCCTTATCCTCCGTAGGCTTCTTCGTGTTGGTGGTTTTGTTTGTCAGGGCAGTAGTACGCGACGAGTTGGTGCGGGTGAGCTTCGCAACGCCACCAGCCTGCATTGTAGCTTTGGATGTCAAGCCAACCTTGGTCGCGGCTGGTTTCTTTCCCTCCTTTGCGCCGCCGTTCTCGCCCTTGGTGACATTGCTTACATCACCTAGGGCAGCGCGCCTCCTTGTGGTACCAGCGGTCGCGGTTGAGGTAGCGGCTTTCTTGGTCTCAAGAGGTTTCTTAGTGGCGGCAGTGGAGACGTCACCTGCGGATAGAGCTGCAGCCTTGGCCCGTGTGAGACGCGTCGAAGGTCTGTTCTCGTCATTCTCGTTCATGGTGCTCCGTGTACGGAGGCTGCGAGCCTGCTGCGGTGTCTGTTAGAAGATCTTGTAATGGACAGAAAAAGAAATAAAAAAAATTAAAATTAAAAAAAAACAAGCAACAGTCGGTGGAGGTGAGGGTCTGGTAAGAGTCAACGCGTCATAGGAGCTGTGGAAAGCTTACCGTAGGCATTGCGAGGGAAAAGAAAGGCGAAAGGGATGTCCGAAGGTGAAGAAAATATAAGAAGGTTGATTATGGTTATTGCGGTTCCTGTCCTTGTCGTCTGGTCAGCATTCCAATGAAGATATTCCCTTGGAGAGTGGAGCTTTAAAATACCAACGGCTTGGGGAACCACTCAAGTCTGGACAACGCGTGAATATTTGACTAACCTTAGCAACGGGAGATAATGCAAGGTGTCAGGAGTAGGATTGGAGGGGAGTTGAAAAGGATTTGGCGTGAGGAAGGCTTAAAGTAGGGACATATATGACTTTTGTTGACGCTGTTGACCAGTGATCCGGATCACGTTAATTGCAACGGCGCGCTCCTCCAAGTTAAGATCTGTACAGTAGAAGATAATAGACCATAAAACAGAGATGGTGATGATCAATGACGCGAGGAATGCAGGTTAAAGTGGGTTTTGGTCCTCCCTTAAAAGTCAGGATCCCCGTTCGAGGAGGTGTTTGATGGGGGTGGTTGGCAGAGAAAGAGGTGGTAAACTTGACAGGGCACAGAGGATGTTTGGCCCTACTCTTAGCGCGGAAATCGGTCAACCTGAGAGAAAAGATGCCCCACAGCACCACCCAAGCCAGTGAAGTCGCGTGGAATGGTGGATTATCAAACCAAAAGTTATCCTGTACAGCGTAACGTAATTAAATGGCGATTATATGCAGATGCCAGCAAACCCGTCGAGTTGCTGTTCTCCGACAATGTATTATGAAAAAGTTATGTACGCGATGAAAAAAGTGGAGAGACGCGGGAAGAAAGGGAAAAGGGAAGCAGAAGTGTTGTCTTGGAAAGGAGGAGGAAGAGAGAGTTCGAAGGGAAAGATGCAGAAAGGGGGATGCAAGCGTAATAACTACTGCGAGACGACCCCGACTGAGGTCATGCAAGTTCTGTTCCAGAGACTGATAGCATCGTATGTGTATGTATGGAGACGATGACTTGGGCCACGATTGATCGTGAATCACACCGGAAATAGCTGGTAACGATACCGTCACGGCCGGAAAGCATAAGTCACTGTGGTGGAGGGAGCAGATCGTCATCCATGGTCGATGCCTGAACTCGGCCAGGCAAGAAGACGCCGTCGCGAGAAAAACGTGAGGCGGCGCGGCCACGACTCCCCAAACAATGCCCCGTTGCCGGGCAACCACGGGTTTTCTTCGCTTTTGGGTTCTCTCGCCCGACGTGTTACCGTGTCGCGGCATCCCGTGACCAGCGCTTCCTTGAGCCACAATGGAGAATACAGTGGCGGTGCAGTTCCAATCACGTGGATGGGAGCAAGCCACAGGAGCAGCCCAAGCCCGAGAGACAATTTTGCTCCGCAACAAAAAGAGTTGGCCGACGACGTCTCATCACCGGCCATTGACAGCGCTCCGATTGGGCTTTGGGTGGTGTCCGAGTCAATTTGTTACCGGTGTTTTGATCTTTACCTTTTTGTCCAAGCAGGCATGTGTAAGCAGTAATCCGTTGGCACATTGGCATACACTGTTGCGAAGGCTTGCGGTCCTACTTGGAACACTTTCCGCCGGATCAATTCTTGGGGTTTCCGTCTGAATTTCTCTCTAAATACTCCCCTACCTCATCATGCTTCAACCCAGATTGGCCTTGACAGGCCTTCGTCTTCCGTTCAGATGCCTATCTTCGGTGTCTTCTAGGTCCTACTCAAGTGTTGTGCCCGAAAAAGAGACCCCCCCGACGGAGTCTTCGACGTCAACCTTCGACCCAAGCATTGCTTTTGCTCCCCCTCCTACGCGAGATGATGCAGGAGTTCAAATTCGATCTTATAAGCCCCGGACTCCCGGTATCCGGCACTTGCGGAGACCGATCAACGATCACCTTTGGAAAGGACGACCAGTACAGAAGTTGACGTTTCCCAAGCGAGGACAAAGTAAGGGTGGCCGTAACAACACTGGTCGAGTAACCATCCGGCATCGTGGTGGTGGCCACAAACGTCGTATCCGAATTGTCGATTTTGCACGAACCGCTCCTGGTCCTCATTTGGTGGAACGGATTGAACATGACCCTGGGCGAAGCGCTCACATTGCGTTGGTCCGCAGCCAAGAAACCCAGCGCCTGAGCTACATTCTGGCCGCGGAAGGAATGAGAGCTGGCGATGTTGTTCAGAGTTATATGTCTGGTATCCCGGAAGACCTGTGGAAAAGTATGGGAGGTGTCGTCGATCCTGGTGTGCTCGCCGCAAGGACCGCTTGGAGAGGAAACTGCTTGCCATTACACATGATTCCCGTTGGTACGTTGATATTCAATGTCGGCTTGCGGCCGAATAAGGGGGGCCAGCTCTGCCGTAGCGCCGGTACTTTTGCAACCGTTATTGCGAAGGGCAGCAATACTCAGGCTGCACAGAACGAGCAGGCTCAAGAAGAGGGTGCCGAGGAAAAGAAACCCTTGTCCCAGCGTGAGCAGCAGAAGCAGGAACGTATTGCAAAGCATATCACCATTCGTCTCCAAAGTGGTGAAGTCCGCCTGATTCATAAGGATTGCTGCGCGACCGTCGGCGTTGCCAGCAACCCGAACTACCAGTACAGCCAACTCGGAAAGGCTGGCCGATCGCGCTGGCTGAACATTCGCCCCACTGTCCGTGGTCTTGCCATGAACGCCATGGACCATCCCCATGGTGGTGGACGAGGAAAGTCCAAGGGTAATGTTGATCCGAAGAGTCCTTGGGGTCTACCGGTATGTGTTCTACCCTTGATCGATTAATATCTGCGTTTGATGCACGTGGGACTGACCTTTTCTGTTTAGGCGAAATCCGGTTATAAGACTCGTCCCAAGTGGAAGGTCAACAAGGCTGTGGTTGTCCCCAGAGTCCGTAACCAGGGCAAGCGTCGTAGAGGATACAGCTAAACGTATCGCCGTCGTCCTTCTTTCGTCTCTTTCTCTTCCCTTCTACGCAAGTACGACTATGCTTCCTTTGCGAATAGTGCCCAGAAGGCTCGATTGCTGCTATTTCCCACCCAGCAGCCACTATCGCTTTCATGATGTCTATCCGGATTCCTTTTCTCATTGTGCTTGCTTTCTTTGGGACTGCATGGAGATGACAGGTTCGTTCATCTTGTACTATACATCAGCTCTACATCGGTCGTAGGGTGTATGATTTTGAATGCTCTGGGGAGCTCTTCATGTCTCTCTTGCTGTTCGGGCTTTTGCGACCATGTTTCTCCCGTGCTGCTCGCCTGTCCTATACCGTGGCGTTGATTTTCTGTATTATATGCATTCAGTATCTAGATCCAATATGGAATATGGAACATGGAATTGGTTTCAGCTCTAGTAAATCTGTTCGTACGAATTGAGGTGATCTCAATTCTCTGCCCTAGATTCAGGGTCAAAAGCGCTCCGTTCGGGATGCATGGGACATGCGAGCTCTGATAGGTGCGGCGAAGACTACGTAAGCCGGAGATGCCTGGACTCTTCCAGAAAGAGTAACGGCTAGAGGACGTACTTATCGTCCTAAGACTACGAACTAGACTACCGATACCAACTCCGATATGCAAATGACGTCCTACGCTCGCTGATAGACCACTCATAAATGCCATTCTCTCCTTCGTACGGAAAGTGATGCGGCTGGTTTGATTCCCGTGTACAGCACAACAATCATTGCAAATCTGCGGTCTTGGTGGCGCTGGATTCGAACAACACCAAATTCCATCTGATCCAGGTCAACATAATTTTGTCTAAACAACCATCCTCCCAGGTGATGGATCTGGAACGCCTCTGATACTTTTATGAGCTTTGGTTTCTCTTATCGTCTAATGCCCCTGGCGCTACCGGTCATTGATAGTTTCGTTATTGGGGTCTGGCACCTCCTATCAGCCGACGGGTATCCAAGCTCTACTTAATCGCAATCCGAATTAAAGTCACTATCCGATCTTCTCCCTTCACAGTCCATTGTACCGCTCACTGGCCATGGCGGACTCTCTCGACGGGCCTTTCTTTCCTCCAACCACCCAAACTTCCTCAACCCAGCCACTACATACTTCGATGGATCACGATACTGCATCGGCTCATGCAGGGCACATCGATCCAGACAGTTCCTACGTTCCCCGCCCGAAGCGCATTGCATGTGTCGTCTGCCGACGAAGAAAATTAAGATGCGACGGAAGGAAACCAAGCTGTGGTACTTGTTCCAGGTTGGGACATGAATGTGCGTACGATGAAGTGCGCAAGAAAAGCGGTCCAAAGCGGGGTTATGTGAAGCAGTTGGAGGCGCGGTTAGGTATGTGACAAATGGTCGTACTCTGTCCATGCATTCGTTAAGATTGTTTCGGTGCTAATGCTGTGCTCTCACCAGCACAAGTCGAAACCTTACTGAAGACGCAGGAGGTGAACCCTTCCCAGAACAGCCAAGGGAATAGCGCCAACATCGCAGCACCGAAAGAGTTCGTCGGCATCCCGGAGGCGGTCCCGTTCACAAACGGTATTGATGCGCCTATGTCATCCCCCGAAGGCGAAATCAACAATATTCAGTCAAACGATACATTCTTGGCACCAGGACTAGATCGCACGGGTAATTTTGGGTGGGACATGATAAGTTTGGGGCTGGAAGAACCTCTGCCTGACCGAGAAATCATTGACGAACTGTATGTATTGGGCTTGGTATCAAATCCAAGGATTTTGAGCTGTGCTGATCATATCATGACAGAAATAAGATCTACTTTGAGAAAATCCACCCTTATATGCCCATCTTACACCGTCCCAGGCATTTGGCAGCTATGGATCTAGCTCCAAGCGTACGACCTCCCGTGTGTTTGCAATACATTACCTGGTGCCAAGCTGCGTCTGTCAGCGAGAAATATTCAAATTTACATGCGCTTTTCTACCAGCGAGCCCGCAAATACGCAGAACTGGACGAGATGAAGGGACTGGGGGAGAGCATCTTGTCTTTGCCGTACTGCCAAACATGGTTACTCATCGGCACATATGAATTTCGAATGATGTTCTTCCCGCGGGCATGGCTCAGTGTTGGTAAAGCTGCAAGGTTGGCACTTATGCTCGGCTTGAATCGATTGGATGGTATGGGCCTTGAGGTAAAACAGTCATTACCGCCAGCAAGAGATTGGACAGAGAAGGAAGAACGACGGAGGGTGTTCTGGATGGCTTTCTGTATCGACCGTTTTGCAAGCGTCGGGACCGGATGGCCAGTTCTTATCGATGAGAGAGATGTTAGTGATGCCTCTTCTAATATTCCTTCCTGATATTCTTCAAAATCTCAATAGCTGACCCTGTCTGAGTAGGTCAAAACGAACCTACCTGCTACCGAAGAAGCGTTCGTCAAGAGCAAACCGCAGAGGACTCTACGCGTTGAGGACATTCTGGCGGGTGATGGACTCTCCACCTTGTCGTCGTTCGGGAGTGTTTCTTTCATGGCATACATGTTTGGACGGAACCTTTCCCACCTGCATCGTCCTGATCCTCAAGACAATGACCATGACTTGAATGGGCTGTATTGGCAGCGGCACAGATCGCACGATAACGTCCTACTACACTTTGCCCTAGCAATGCCCAACCATCTCCGACTGCCAGCTGGAATGTCTGATCCCAATGTCATCTTCTGTAACATGGCGATCCATACTTCCACAATATGCCTTCATCAAGCTGCTATCTTCAAGGCCGAGAAAAACAGGATGCCCGAACAGATCATCACAGAAAGTAAACGAAGATGTATTGTCGCCGCAGATCAAATCTCTAATATTATGAAGATGATCAGCCACATGGACCTGACGGCCGTAAGTCTCAAGAAACAGTTGTCATTATGCTATTGTCATGGACTAATCGATTCTAGTTAAACCCCTTCATGTCATACTCTGTCTATGTCGCTGCGCGCGTCTTCGTACAGTATCTCAAATCCCGCCCCGACGACTCAGCTGCTCGTTCCTCTCTCGGATTTGTCTTCACCGCACTCGATGCGATGAAGAATAAGAACCCCTTGACCGAATCTTTCCTCGTCCAATTGGACGTCGATATTGAAGGTACTCCATTCCGAGACATTCGACAAGCAAAAAGGCCTCGTATCACAAACGTGCCAAACAAGGTAAATCTCCGCAGAGAACGATCTCCCAACATCACAATCTCTAATGATCAACAGGGTCGTGGCTGTACCCCCCTCGTACCATTAGACCAATCCCAAAAGCAACAATCTCTATCGGCTGGCCCACAGCAAAACTACTACACGCCCTCATCTCTCCCCTCTCGTGAAGAGCAGAGTCTTGCACAACTACAGAACAGAAACCCTCCTTCAGATCCTTTCGCGAAATCACCGTTTAATCTCAGCTCGGGAACTGAATCTGGACCAGGGACTGACACAGGTCTTTCGCCTGAGTTCACCGACAAGAGTTCGAACAATAGTCCAGCGTCAAACGATCCATCAATACTAAACCCGACTACCATACACGACCCGTCTTCTTCAACCTACATGCCCTTGGATCAATCCTCGCCTCTAAAGCAGCAGCTATCAACCTCATCATCTCTCAATCAAGCCAACCATCAACAATCACACCCCTCTCTCGACACTAGTAGCGCAGTAAACATGAGTATGGGTACCGGCCCATTTGGCGCATTTGATATCGGCTTCAATTCCCAGTTATATCCAACGGGCATGGTAACCCCCCTCGGCTCTAACGGTTCGGAAGGGTCGATTCCCATGCCCACGTGGGATTTCGGCGCGCCTCAAACGTCGAACGGCGAAAATGTCGACATGATCACTACCGGCATGGAATCATTAGAAGCACAGTGGGCACAATTACTAGGTTCAGGTCCAGGTACAGGCACAGGCACGGGTTGGGACTCATGGCGAAATCAAGCATAGGTTAGACTAAATTTCCGGTTTGCACCCTAATTTTTTGTATACTTCTCAATACCCCGGTTTGAAGCGCGGCGCGTTTGTTATATGAAAGTCATGTGGAACAATATAAAGATATATTCATTAGCTTAAGGCATGCGAGGCCAATATCAATCAACAATACTCCCGAAATGAACACAATTAGATACTCCACGGCCCTTAAACAATGTTGAGCAAGAATAAGCAAAGCGACAAAGGGTAAGAAAAGGAAAGGAAAGAAAGAGAGAAACAATAATGCTAAAGGATAAGAGCAAAGCTAGCGAGTGCGTGCTTAGCACTGGCTGGGGAACTGTCTGTCATCAGGGGAGGTAGGGAAAACGCCAGCAGTAAGCAAATCACTCATATCCCAACCAGGGGCACCCTCAGTCTTCCAGGTCCAGAACAGCCAGCCGCTCTTGAGCTCAAAGGCGTCCAGCTGGGCCTCAATGAAGCGACGCATGTTCGACCGTTCATCCTCAGACAGGTTGGCCACAGTACCACTTTCCAGGCTGGTGCAATCGCCAAGAGCCGTACCAGTGATATAGGAGCCATCATAGCGAGCGCCATTGCCCTTGCCATTGAGGTATCTGGTACAGTCGGTCACAGCACCAGTCCACTCGCCCACAATGACAGGCTTGTCAGAAGCTTCCAGGTGCTGGTGAGCAAAGTCGCAGACGGCACTGACGTGGCCGTCGATATCCTGGGCGATGAGTCCGGTGTCAAACATATGGTAATGGTGTGTGTCCATCACGACCTTGCTGCCCTCGGTCTTGTAGCCGTTCCAGCTCTCCACGGGCAGGAAACCATCGCCGTATACCACAGATGTGCTAGCGCTGTACTTGTTGACGATACCATAAACGGAGCCGTAGTACTCTTGCAGCTTGCCCTGGTTTACTCCACCAGGAACGTTGGGCTCGTTGACAGCTTCGATGGCAGCCACGGTGTCGGAGCCAACATACCGCTCGGCCAACTGGTCGAAGGCATCAAGGGTCTGTTCAACAGTGTCCCCCTGTTGCCATTGGATGGCGCCCCTCCGACCGCTGTTGTCGAATCCATTTTGAGATCCCGGTACTGGTTATATTATTAGCCAGGCTGAAGACTCCCTTGATATGATTTAGTCCAAAGGGGGCTTACCACCGTGCAGGTCGACGAGGACTTTGAGGCCCGCTGCCCCAGCCCACTCTACCGCTTTGTCAAGGTACTCCAGCTGACCATCCACGTAAGGGTCTCCTTCGAGGGGCCCAAGAGCCCAGTAGCCGATGGGGATTCGGACATGGTTCAGTCCGGCATCAGCCATCCGCTGGAAATCGCCCGGGGAGACGAAAGACTCCCAGTGAGCAGACAAGCGTGCCTTAGCCTCATCCTTGCCCAGGATCTGAGTCAGTGACCACTCGTCGACGGCCCCTTCACCAGCTTCATCGAAAATCGAAGGTGTAATCCAAGGCTCAAGCACAAGCCATCCACCAAGGTTGACACCGCGGACTTTCTCGCCATTGTAATCGAACGAAGTTGCGCGAGGGTTCAGGCGACTGTTCTAATTGTAAGAGGCTATGTAGAGGAAAAGGGGTAACATCACAGTTATACTGACATAGTTGCAGCTTGCGTGCCAGCTGACAGCAAACCAAGCACTAGAAGTGCCTTGTTTGAAAGTCTAATGAACATTGTGTTTGAACACTGTCGATCTCTGATGCTGATCTTTAGGAATAAATAGGAGGCTGGGGTTGAGAGTTGAGAGATTGTTTGCTTTGGTGAGTTGTAGCGTCAGTTGGAATGGCAATCACCTGGTTTAAGTAAGGAGTGCTCACAAGCTGGTTTCAACCACCGGACGCAACCAACAGATGACCCTAAACAAACACAAAATTTGGACAAAGTCCAGACTCGCCCACTGCGTTCGGGCAATGCCGATCCCAGATCTGACCGAGCATCGAGAGATGGATCCGCGTAGTGGCGTTTGTGACAGCTCCGAAAACAGGATGTAAGGATAGAATAATAATAAAATAACGTGTACTAACACCACAACAAAGGCATTCTTCTCCCGGTCCTCGTCCAGGAACGTCGTGGGGACGACCGCGCCGGCGTCTCAGAACGACAGCTCTATCGAGGGATTCCGTCTGACGGAATCCGGGGCGGACCCATGGGATATCAGGAGCATAGGGTCACGTTGACGAGTGCGGAGTTGTTGAGCGCTATGTGGAGTCATAGATGATGATGAACCCCATAGTATTCGCGGTGAACAACGGTTCCATGGGTCCTCTGGGGATCTTTGGTGTCGGATCCGGGGAAGAGCGACCCTTAGTAGGGTTTACGTTCCAGGGACGCGACGCCCACCGGGTACCTGATCGGGAGTCCACAGCCGTCACCGATAGCATCTTCACCTCCTTCAAAGCAGACGAGGGAGTATAGAAGGATTCTGGCTGGGTTTATTGCCCAGCATGTGTCTAGACTCTTTCCAAAAGGGTGACCACTGACTCGTCATCTCGTAATGCGGACAATCGTTTGTGGGGCCCGTGGGAACAAATATCGGGGTCTTTGGGTACACCATGCCTGTGACAGCGTTTCTTGTGGTCCAGTACCGCATTCGGACAGGATGAAGACAGATTCATAAAATCACAGAGGATCAAAAAATATGGGGTTGAGCTTGAGGGTTACGAATCACTGCCGGATTCGGAAGCCATCACGTGGTCCATGGCACACGTGCATTCTCCATGACCAATGCAGACCCTACTTTGAAGTCTTTGATATTGATATCGCGTGGATATTACTCTGGTATGGCTCAGGCACAACAAACTGTTGACCGACCTTGCAAACCGACTTATCTACATTCAACATTGAATCCCTGTTGTCCGTAAAAGAGAGCCCAATACCTCCCTATAGATACTACGTGTTGAAAGGCCATGGCTTGTCATTACCTTCACACCCAATCTTTGGTCCCCCAACGCTGAGGAAGACCTTGTCGTTCCGGAAACACCTTGCCAGCACCCAAATGGGCGTTGAAAATTGCGCTTCCCACTCCATCTCAGTCTCGTCAGGTCTGTCGAAGTATTTAAAGCTCCAAGATGTCAGGCCACCTCCAACACATTTCTTCGCTTGATCGCGGAGTTCTTGCCCATGGTCAAGACTAGCCCACAATCTACCCCTGATAGTATATCTTGACCAAAGTCCTTTATACCATCCCTCGCATAAGCCGCTGGGGGTTCGAACCGGCCAGGGGCGCCTTATGCGGCCCACCTTCAGTTCATATGTGTATCTCCCCTTCTTCCAACTACCCCCGTGCTTAAGGTTTAGTGGGTTTTCTGGACGATATAGGTCACATCCGTGAATAATTCTCAGGAAGCTGTTGAGGCATTCTTGCTTGCTAAACTGTATCGCTCCCTTCGTGAGGCTTATAGAGTACTTGTGCTCTTCCGGGGTACCCTTGTAGAAAACGCGCTCGTCCTGCCAGTTCGGCTGGTCCTCGGGCGGTTTGACTTCGTTGCAGTATGTCTGGTAGGTCTCATCCAGCACGTGGCTCTGGACATAATGACTGAGTAAGTCGCCCTTTTTCCCATTCCCCTTGCAAGAGAAGTGGTCGCGCTCCTCATCGTCGCAAATCGGATTCGGCACGTCCAAAAATAACGCCCGTGCCGAGATGATCTCGTTGAGAACGAACGATGCAATCGTGAGGTGGCCCTTGTCATTGGGGTGGAACCACTTTCCCCATCGATTCGGCAGTTTAGATCCCCAGGAGCGCTTGTCGAGAAACGCCTGGCAGCCTCCCTCATCCCGAGTAACAGGATTTCTGTCGCTGAGCAAGTGTATGGCTTCCGTCGCAGGGTTCGCACTCATGTCGAACGGATCATAAAGGCTTCCGTTGACCCCATAGCTGACCTCAGGCTCCAGTTGACCATTGTCTACTATCATGTCCCTCTTTTTGACCTCGTCATGTATAGCTTTCTTTTTCGTGTCTGGCTTGAAGAACTGCAAATTAGGCTGTTCGGGGTCGGGGTATTCCCCAGTAGACCCAGGCCAGCAAAACTGCCCAGCAACCCTAGGTTCAGAGGCCCAGCCGTCCCAATCTGCAAAGCGTAGTCTGTACTTCACACCTCTCTCCCTCATCTTGTCGATGGTTTTTTCAATTCCCATGTTGGTGATCTTGACCAATTCATTATATTCTTTTCGCCTCCTCAGGTCCACCGGCAAACTGTTGAACGGACCCCCGATAGCAGGAAACGCCCAATTGTTATGCCTTGCGCAGTCATCTGTCTCGGTATCGAGGTCATGGAAGAACTGAGCATAGCTAGCAAAGACCACAACGCCAGAGTTTGGATTCATATGCTTTTCAAGCTCAACCAGGATTAATTCGAGGGCCGGCTCTAGGATGTATTCCGCGTTGGTCTTGGCTCGCTTGATAGCCGACTCACAGCTCTTCTCATTGTACGCAAGAAAGATACAGTCTTTCAGAACATCAATCTAGCAAGTTTTTTTCATCTTAGTTTCGCGCACTTCAGCAAAAACGTGTAAGCAGACTCAGACACTCCTCACCAAGCAGAGGTCGTTTCCTCCCGCAGTCAGCACGACCAAATCCATATCATTGTCTAGTTTCTTGGCTTGCTCAAGAATCTCGCGTGATTTGGCACCGGTGCAGGCCAGCCATTGAAACTTCTCTGCGGAGACTCCCACGGCTCGCTCAAGCATTGCGACATACGATCGATCGTACCGGGCACATTTGCGCACTTCGTCGGTCGTATCCCACAGCCGGCCGGCTCCAATCCCAGCAGTAAAGCTGTCGCCAATAGCGCCCCATTTCCGGATCCAGTGCATGTCGGTGGGGTCTTTCATTGGGTCTCCGCGAGGAAGACGCTCGCCCCGAGGGCTGACGGTGTAGTCGAGACTCTGGCTGGCATTCTCACTGAGGGCATGGCCGCCGAGGGATCCCATCAGCAGCGACAGTGCCAGCAGGAGCATGGCCAGGGCTGCCATTCTGAAGGAGATCTGGTTTGGGTGAGGTAAATACAGGGGACACCGTTCATCAAAAGAGACAATCTGGATCTGAGGATACACTCCATGGAACATGAATGGGGAGGAAGGGAGGGCATTCTCATAGCCAATATAAAGATTTATATAATGTAGCCCATTGAATATGAGTGAATATACAGATACACAGATAGCGGGAACTTGTACCTCAATGAGCTCATGCCAACTATCCCGTGAATCAAAGAACCCATGTTGGTGAATGGTGTATCTATGTATATCTTACCCCGCTAACCTGCACCCCATTGTATAGCTTCTAAGTGCAGTCTCGAACCTGGATTTTGCCACATTGACATGCACTATCTCGCTCCTTGTTAAAAATCATTGTTAGATTATGTACCTCGGCATAGACAAGAGTGCACCTGACAATTCTGCTTTCAGACAGCATGAACTTGTACGCATGCGTTATACATGAAGCCCATATTTCTGAGATAGGAAGCAAATTCACACCAACTACGGAGAGTTTATGTATGGGAAATGAACATTTAGACAATATCATGTTAAACACTGCACCTCAGACTTCATATCATGATACTAGGAAGCGCAAGATAAAACAGCATATCTACTCCTTCTTCTTCGGGCTCCCCTTCTTTGAGCCTCCAACCCAAGTCCCGTTTGTCCCCTTTGGCCAAGGTTTACCGAAGCAAGGCCTTGGTCTGTACTTGCCATCACTAGTCCATTCTTTCTTCTTCCTCGACGCTTTCCCCAATGCTTCAACGAGGGTGCCATCATCCAGGTCAACAGCCCAAACCATGGTCCCTCCCAGACAACGCTTGTTGGCGAAGTCGACCTTGAGCTTCAGCGTTTGGACATCATCCCAGCTAACCCACTGAGTGCTATTCCACGTAGCGACCTTCACTGCGGCATCTTGATAAAAGGTGACAGTAGCACCCCTCCCCAGGATTCTGTGGATCTCTGTTGCCGAAATAACCCCGGGAACATTGGTACATTCTCCAGCGGGGGCCTCTCCCTCCTTGAAGACACAGCCAGGGGTCATGCAATTAGGGTCTGCCATGGTGAAGCTCCGTCCGTAGAAACCCAGTCCCATCACAACCCGTGCGGGATTGATGTTGTTGCGCCAGAGAAGTTCGAGACCCAGATTAATCTCTGTCAGGTTGGTATGGGCGTAGGCATGTGGCCCAATCTCCTTCCCATGTGCGTCCCAGAGGCCATCTAAGAAAAAGAAGGGCAAGTTTAGCATCGGCATATGAGAATAATGCTGTAAGAATAGCCCGACTTACGTATATCATAGGTCATGACGTTAAACCAATCAATGTGTGGCTCCAAATTTGCAACATCAAATCCTTGAAGATACCAGTAGCTAGCCGGCTGCATCGCACAAAAGGTTAGCATTTTAGCGCTCAAGGACTCGAAGTATAACACAACATACCAAGGTTATGGTAAGCCCATAGTGCTTTGGCAATTGATCCAGCCGCTCTCTTAGTCGTTTCACTAACGTGACATAGTTGGCAAAGTCCTCTGGTCTGCCGCCTCGATCGTCTGCGGTAGGATATTCCCAGTCGAGATCAACCCCGTCGAAGTTATTATGAAGCATAAAACTAATCAAGGAATCAAAGAACGTATCTTGTGCAGAATGTGAGGCAGCAAGGTCCGAAAAGGTAGTCCTGGTGGGACCTGGATCGTTGAAGTCCCAGCCTCCAATCGCAATATACACCTCGAGACCATTTTGACGGTTTTTCAGCGCTGTGAGGGCTTTGTAACGCTTGGCAGTCGCATCTGTCATAGGAGCAATCCGGAAAGTCTTCGGATCAATCAGAGCAAAGGCGAAATTCAGGTGGGAGTATATCCCTAGAGGGATATCCTTGGGTTCCACCTCTGGAGCCATCGGGTCAGATCAGTAAAAGACATGGAGCTATGAGCAGTAAGGACTTACGTCCACAAGTTCTTCTCTCAGGGTTCCATGCTTCGTAGTATCCAATAGTCTTTGCCTTCGAGCTTTGCCCTTTACATTCGGGAGATACTACCTGCTTGTCCCCGCAAAACTCTTTCGTGGTTCCTGCAGGATTCCTTTAGCTACGGTGGATCATTAGACAAGATCAAGGGAACAGGCGTTCTCACCGCAGAACCCATGCTTACTACAGCATACTTTCAAAGGGCATGTAGTCCTATTAGACCATTCTTTACCCCAGCCTGCATCACATTCACTCTTTCGGTCGCAGTTAGAGGTGCACTTTGATCCGCAAAAGTCAGGTCCAAAGCCACAGTAACCTGTACCAGTCGAGTCTCTGGAAGTATTGATCAGTACCTGCTAAGATTCCTAATCGTAGCAGTATTATAGCTCTCACATTGGTCCACAGCAACCCAGCCGGCAAGGCTTTGACTTAGAACAAGTCGTATCGTCGTTCGGGAGAGGCAAGAGCTGTAAGCTTGTGAACGCCAACGTCTTGATCACGAGCTGACAGAGGAATAAGAAGAAAAGACCGGAGGCTGATCTTTTGGGTAGCATGATGCCAGAAGGGACAAACCAAACTGAAGGGTTCCAGTGAGTATGTCTGAGAACTTGATTATATAAAATCGAAGCAGTGTCTCATAGTGGGAGGATGGAACTGTTTAAATACTCAGCTTAGTATAATTATGACTTCTTCTGGATGGCCCTCACATGCACCACCTTCTAGACTTCTAATTCACTTTCTCACCATACAGCATTCACTTTGTCACAGCACTGCAGCCGGTGGAGTCCAGGTGGTGGCAAATACCTATGTTTGTGACTACTTAAGGAATACTGCTGTACGCCTCATCCACCTTCTTTGCCTCGAATATTCCTGTTGAACCCTTCACCAACGAACCTGCTTGCCATCGTTCTGTATTAGACAAAATATCCATAACTTCTCTAAGGGTATCAGCTCCTTACATTGAGTAAGTAAGCTGGCCTTCCTCCCCCAGGCTCCCAGTGTGTATTGATATATGTGGCAGCTCTCTATGAGAACTATGGCTACCGGGTTCGTCTTGAATCTCCTGTTTCTTCTCTCGTTGTTCTTTGCGTCTCTTGGCAACGCCGGTCACCCAGCCTGGGAGGCAGGCGCTACAACTGCCACAGCCGAATGGATACACGTAGATCCATCTTGGGATTGGCCCACGTGGTATCGTGAGACCATTCAGTATTACTTCAACAGCCCAGCATCGAAAGAGAGATTGTCAAGTGACATCAGGGCTGCATGGCAACTCTGGCTTGCTGCAGGCTTGCCAGAGACCTTCAGATTTGTCGAGTTTCCCAAGTGGCGGTGCGAGCAACATCCATACAGTTGTTTGCTTATCGTTGGAGACGGGGAGGTACCGTCAGCTTATACCAGCATTGGAAGGCAAATCTCACAGCCCTGGGATGCTATTACCATGTACTTGGTCTTTGAGCCGGGTGAGGACGAACACAGCAGGGCCCTGATAGCTGCTCACGAGATCGGGCATGCCTGGGGTCTCATCCATGAACATCAAAATCCCTTGTATTGGCAGTGGGCCTACTATGCAACCAGATCGGATTCACTATTTCGGTTTTATTGCGCGAATGTGCAAGGGTATGATGCGGTAGCGCATGAAATCAATAATACTAGGGAACTCTGGGGCGAGAACGGCCCCTGTCGCAATTCGTTACGAGCTTCGGATATGGACTTTTATGCCTCCGAAATACTTCCATGGGCGCATCGATATCAATCACCACATCATTTGTGGCCTCAGGACTCTGACGTGGATTGGGACTCTATCATGATTTACGGATCTTACCTTTTCGGAGAGCTGGATGAGCATGGCAACCCGAAACCGACGCTTCTCCGGATGAAGGACCTTCAGGTTATCCCAGATCCTGACACCGTGACGGACCTCGATGTTGTTGGGCTGTTGCATCTCTATCATCCCAAATTTGGGAAGTTCCTGGATGTGTTTCACAACGAGCCATCTAGCCCTTGGTACACCATTTTCCAGGGGAAGATCAAGAGCTGTCCAATTAAGACCTGAGGCAAGAGTTCTCCTTGACGCTTGTCCTGGGTGATACCTTCAATATCAGACGTAGCTTTGTCCATGTTATCCAGTATTCTTCACTATAGCTGCGTTGGTAATGCATTGCAAGTCTCTGCAGTAGCCCACCGGAGACAACTCACATGGCCAGTGGCGAGTAGAGTGTGAATGTATGTACGATGCTTGCGAATCATGGTCCGTGAGGAATACTAGTGAATTGATATCATTCCTGCCAAATTCTCTCCCATCGAGTGAATGGCTCATTCACTGCATCCACGTCCAGTCAAAGAAGGTCTATCTATAAATACCGCCTAAGCTGTAGTTCCCTCGCTCAGACTATGCCTAAATATTCTCTCCCTAATATACGCAATAGAATTGGTGACCATGGCGCCCTTCCAGTTGACTCTTTCTCTACTCCTCGTCGTGCTAACAACGTCTGGCAATGCTGCAAGCACCACCTGGGAAACGCATCCTTCTCACCCAACTTTGCCAGGAACCGTTCCCAACTGCAACAAATGGTACACTGCGAAGAAGGGCGATGACTGTTCCACTGTGCAGCGTGAATGTGGTATCTCGGCCGATGACTTTTTTCGTTGGAACCCGTCGGTCTCCAAGGACTGTAAGGAGAACTTTTGGGCAGATACATCGTACTGTGTTGGAGTAGGGCCAGCTATCACCACCGGGACAACAACCACAAAGGTCCCACCCTCGACGACGACTCCTACACAGAGTACAGAGACTACACCCATCAGCTCTAGTCCGAGCAGCAACGGGACCTCCTCAGACTCTGCTCCTTCCAGCTCCCCCACGACCAAGGAAACCTATACGTTTAATCACCCCATTACCACCTGGACTCCACCTTCGCCTACGCGAGAGACAGCATGGCCCCCGACCAAAACCCAGCCAGGCCAGCCCACATCGTGCACCAGATGGCATGAGGTGATGGTCGGGGACACCTGTGATACCATTACCAGCCGCTACAGCTCGTGGATCACGAAGGAAGACCTGTGAGTCACATCCCACCCCCGTAGAACAGTTCGGACAGCTGATATCATACCCAGACTGGAGTGGAATCCGGGCCTCAGGAAAACTGTGACGCCCCTCTCGTGGGTAATTTTCTATGCGTCATGACCAGACCGTCTGGCTACACGTTGACCTATCCAAATAATTCAACCCCGGTGGTCATTCCCACCCCTACACCGTACACGCCCCCGCCTCCAGTGTGCCCTAATACCACCGAGACTGAGCTCATGCCCTCGCCAACCCAGCCAGGAATGCCCTCCAAGTGTCAAATATACTACCATGCGACCACTGTAAGCAACTCGAGCTCTCACCTTCGTTATCCATTTACGGTTACTAACATATAGCTACACAGGGGGACTCCTGCTCCAAGATACTATCGCAATATAACATGCCCGAGAAACTCCTCCATGAATGGAATCCGGCTCTTGGCCCAGACTGCAAGGGCCTACTGCCTAACTACTACTACTGTCTCCTTCCCGACGGGTTCAGGCCCATGCCGCTCACTGTCACCACCGCCCCTGCGCCGACTCAAACCGGGATCGCCAGCAACTGCAAGGCTTGGTACCGGAGGAACCAGTCCGAGACGTGTTCCGACATCGTGCTCGCTTTCGGTGCCTTCTCGGAGGAGGACTTCAAGGCCTGGAATCCTGCCGTGGGCCAGCAATGTACCGGACTGATCGTAAGAAACATCCACCTGAAAAACGTAGCGTCAACTAACCCCTGATTAGGATGGCAACTGGTACTGTGTCGCCGTGCCTGGCACTCCCACCACACGCACTGCGTCGGTGCCAGCCTTCCCAACAAGCGTCCCGCGCCAGCCAAACGTGATCAAGAACTGCATGTCGTGGTGGCATGTATCTCAGTCAGTGGCCGACCCTCATCCCAACATTCCCCATTCTAGATTTCTAACAACACCTAGTGAGGATGACTGCTACGACGTCGCCCGAAAGAACGGCATCACCGTCGACGAGTTCCTCGCGTGGAACCCAGACGTGCGTGCCGGGCAATACGACTGCAAGGTCCTGCCGGTCGACTACGAGGTCTGCGTGGGCGTGCGACCCAAGCCACCCATCCGCGGATGCACGCCAACGGCTGGCACGAACACCACCGCCCCGGTCAATACGACGGCAGCATATCCGACGACCAGGAAGTCCTGGTCCAGGACGTCCTGGCACAAGACGCTGACCACGACCACCGTTGTGACGAAATGCGTGGATGCGTCGTCGTCCACCTGCGCCACGGCAACGGTGACCACCACGAGGGTTGTGACTCTGTCTCCTCCCCCTACGGCCGCGCCGCCTCCTACTGGTACCACCACCACATTCGTGACCTCCCCGACGAACTCGTCCTCCGGGATCTCGTCTCCAGGGGCCTCCTCAACTCTGCCTCCGTCATCGAGCTGTGCTTCTTCTTCCTCCAACAGTTCCACGACGCCCGTCGTGCCGCCAACTACAGGCCCAGGAGAAAGTAGTAGTTCCAGACCGACCACACGATCAACTCAGAGCCAAGATCCCCACAGTTCCGTGACCGGGCCTCCGCCACCTGCGGCGTCCTCGACCATCACGATGACTACGACTATCACGACACAGTGCTCCACTACTACGTCCACGGCGGATACGAGCTCACCGGACGATACTACGCTTGTGACGGCCACGGTGACCACGTCCTGCTCGACTACTTCTGCTTCGATTACTTCTGCCTCGTCTTCTTCTGTGTTGGCTTCTTCTGCCTCGAGTACTTCTGTCTCGAGTACAAGTGAGCCAGACTACACTGAAATCGAGACGACAACACTGACGACTCGATGCACGACTACCTCGCAGAGTCAGACCGCAAGTGAGCCTTCGATGACCATTATGCAAGGATGATTTAAACCAAGCAAACATCTTGTATTCGTTTTGTACTGGGATCTGTAGTAGAGTTTTCGGGGAGATGCTTTATGTAGGGTTTGGTGGGTGGGGGTGGAGGCTTTTTTTTATGAATTGTCCCAGGAACGCCACGTGCAGGAGCATAATAATGATCAACGTGAATTGGAATTTTTCTCCATAATTCTGAAGAAAGCAATGCATGGACTGTAAGGGAATGCAAGCAGAGTCAAACTCAGTAGAGATTAAATGAATGCCAAGGGGGGCCCGATTGGGGAGGTGATCACCATCACATGTATGTACTATATGGAAGTTAAGTAACTAAACTAAGTACTACGCAATATAGGAGTACACGCCCACCTCGCTATATGATCAGCAGTCATAGACCAGGATCAATACCTGCATGGTCAAGCCAGAAGCCACCTTCTGAAATACTAAATCCACATAATAGCAAACAACTCACCACCAAATCCCCTCACGTCCTACCCAACGTCCCACAACTGCAGAGACACACCAAACCC